AGGGTCCTCTTCAACTTCCTCCTCTTCCCCCTCATGATCCGACTCCCATTCTCCTTCAAAGGCCAGATCTCCCCCACCCTCACCGAGCTGTCGTTGCTCGGAGCTCACGTCGTAGTAGGGGAACGGCACGTTCTTCCAAACGCGGTATTTCTTGGGCATCTGTAATGAGAACGCGGTCAGCAGATGCAGTCAGCCGATGGGGGGTTAGCGATGCCAGTGAGGGAATAGACTCACATCCTCCCATACCGCCTCGTCCGTTGTCACGACTTGAAGCTCCGGGTTCCACCCGAACCCGGACTGTTCGCGAAGGTGGCGCAGGATCCCGAACTGCTTGCGTAGCGTGTCCAGCCGGCCCTGTACGGCCTTGACGGTACGCTGGGGCCCGCCCGCCTCTTTGATGAGACTGATGACCGTCTGGCAATGGAAGGTCTGGTAGTTCTTGATGTAAGGACCTCTGCCCCTGTGGTCGCCATCATCAGCAAAAGATACACAACATGTGAGACGAGACGAGACGAGAGGCGACGCGACGTGACGTGACCTGTCGACTCACTGTCGGAAGGACAAGAATTGGTTCAACATGATAAATGTGTCTCTCCTAGTCCACTCCTTGGGAGCAGACTTGGGAGCGGGGGCCTGTGTGGCTACCACAACGTCGACGGTGGCGGCGTTGGGGAGCGTGCCAACGTTGGCAGGGTGATCTGCGGGGGTGTTGATAGATGGGAAAGCGGGCATTGCGTCACTTATGCTGTACTTGTTGATTTTCCAGAGAAAGAGGAGAAGACAGCGTGAATATAATTATTTGCGTCTGCGACGCGACTCGCGACCAGGAGCAGTCCCTGAGACCCTTTATCAACCAAAACGCGCGCCGAACAAGCTGGTCAAAGTGGTCAAAACTCCCGGCGTCGCGACCACCGGAAGTTCAGGGTCCTGCAGGGTCCGCAGAGTGCCGGAGGGTCCAGCACTCTCAAAAATCGTTCCCGAACACGGCCTCTGAGAGCGGGATGATGATCCTCCCCGTCTTGTGCCGCCAAGCGTCAGGCATGGGGCCTTCGGGGAATGGGAACCCCAGGATCTTGGCAAGTTCTTCTGAGCAGTAGGCAAGCACGGGGGAAAACCGGGTGATGGAGAATACATGGGCGATAGAGAAGAAACGACGAGATGCAAGACACTTTTGAGACAATTTGCGAATGTCAACAATTGTTGAGCGACTTGAGAGCGGCTCTCGGCAATCAACTCGGCGGCCGGCGACTCGCCCATCCGATCGGCTATCTCCGGGTGGTATCATAACGCCTTGTAATCTGAATCTTCGTTGTGGACGTTGCATCTCATCCCACCATGGCCCCCCTCGACCACGCACGCCTCCATCCCGCCCACCAGCCACAGTTCGCCCACTTTCCCTCCCGGCGCTCCACCGTCTTCTCCACCAAGGGCATCGTCGCCACGAGCCAGGTTCTCGCGGCGCAGGCGGGGCTCGAGATCCTCAACAAAGGCGGTAATGCTGGTGAGTGCAGATCATAGTATAAAAAGGATGCTGATGATGGTATAGCGGATGCTGCTGTTGCTACCGCGGCCGCTTTGAATGTCACGGAGCCTACTTGTACTGGTATCGGGGGTGATATCTTTTGTCTCTTCTATCACGGCAAGACCAAGCAGGTCAAAGCCGTGAACGGCTCTGGTCGAGCACCCAAAGAACTTACCTTGGAACACCTGAGAGAGCAAGGTATCACTGGTGATAGCGTGAGTAGCCCACCCGTAATGAGCGGCGGAAGCTCATGTTCAGCAGATTCCACTGACCAACCTCAACTCTGTTACCGTCCCGGGCGCTGCCGCCGGCTGGCTCACTACCATCCAAGAATTCGGTTCTGGAAAGCTGTCCATGCGCGATATTCTTGATCCCGCGATAAGGATGGCGAGGGAAGGTGTGCCGGAGGGAGAGCTGAATGCAAAGCAGTGGCAGATTGCAGAGGGACTGTTGAAGGGTGCTTCGGACAATTGGGACGAGTGAGTGGCTTACCTTCAAGGATGGGACAGAGCTGATATGGGGGAAGGATGACGATGCCGGATGGCCATGCCCCAAGGCCGTCAGACGTCATGACCCACGCTACCTTGGCAGATACATTTGAAGCTGTAGCCGAGCACGGCCATGCCGGATTCTACAAAGGCCGCATAGCCCAAGGTACGTCCCTATTCTTGCACATAAGACTTGGCTGATGACATTCACCAAGCTATCGTCGACCTCGTCCAATCTGGTGGTGGCGTCATGTCTCTCGACGACCTCGCAGAGTGCCAAGCCGAACTCGTCCAGCCCATCTCGTACACATACAAACCCCATCACCCTCCCGCGCCATCATCATCTTCCGAGAAAGACCCCGGCGTCACACTCTGGGAATGTCCACCTAACGGTCAAGGTCTTACTGCTCTTGTCGCATTGGGTATAGTGGAAGCTGTAGAGGAGGTACATGGGATTGATGTTCTGGAGCTGGAACATAATGGGGTGCAATATCTGCACATCCTCATTGAAGCTTTACGTCTCGCCTTTGCAGACTGTGCGCATTTCACCATCCCCTCAAATGCACCACTGACTGTTTTATAGCTCGGTACTATGTCACCGATCCCGCTTTCAACCCCACCCCCGTCGACGAGCTGCTCTCCAAACCATACCTCCTCTCCCGCGCCAAACTTATCGACCTGACCAAAGTCGTCCCTGTCAAGCACGGCAGCCCCGTCAACAGCTCCGATACTGTCTATCTCGCAACGGCGGATAATGAAGGGAACAGCTGTAGTTTCATAGCCAGCAACTATGCCGGTACGCCAACCTTCTTCCCCTTCTTCTTCACTCTTGTACCAGATGCTGATGGGTTGAGGCAGGTTTTGGTACGGGCGCCATCCCGAAATCATGCGGTTTCACCCTGCAAAACAGGGGCACGGGCTTCACCCTCATCCCCGGTCATCCCAACTGCGTAGCCGGCGGAAAACGACCGTATCACACCATCATCCCCGGTATGGTCACCCAAGGCGACGATCTGTTGATGAGTTTCGGGGTCATGGGAGGGTACGTCTCTCTTTCTTCCTTTTTGAAAACATCGTTGTGGAAGCTAATGGGATGAGGTAGGTTTATGCAGCCGCAAGGTCATATCCAAGTCTTGCTCAACAAACTCCGCGGGTTTGGGACGCAAGCGTCTCTGGACGCTCCTCGGTTCTGTATCTCGGCGGGTTTGCCGGATAATGGGACGTCTGGCGCAGAACAGGGAGCAGGGGATATTGATAGTGAGATTTGGTTTGAAGAAGGTATCTCTCTCGAAGTCATCGACGAGCTCAAACGTACGTCCCTTCCTCTCCTTATCACTTCACTTCCCTTTCCTCGTCTAGAAGTGAAGAGCTGATGTGCGGACGGACAGGTATGGGCCACCAGTGCGAGATCGCATCCGGCTACGCAAGAAAGATTGCGGGGAAGGGACAGGTGGTGCAGAGGGTTGTGGATCCGAATGGGCGGAGGGTGTGGGCTGCGGGCTCGGATTTGAGGGGCGATGGGTGTGCTGTGGGGCAGATTTAAATCCCTCGTTAATCGATTAGAAAGATGTATCAGGACTATAAGATGAATGGATTCCTGACACAAAGTCTAACACCCGACTCGTGGATACGTCAACATACGATAATCGTCGTCTTCCCCAAACATACTGAGCAGACAAATGCGATCGTCAGCGTTATATACACTTCGTAGGAGCTGAGTATGAATATGTCTGCCGAGCGAAACTCAAAAACTTGTGTCAGCTGGTTCTCTTTGCAGTGAAAATCAGACCATGAACTCACATGAGCTACCTTGTTCCCCCAGTACTGCACGTCTTCCAGTGTTCTGCCTTCCTCATCTACAACCCTGACGTTTCCCTCGCCTGTCAGTACGACGACCTTCATACCGCCGGGCTTTGACGCCTTTCGAAGAAGACATTGAACTCTCCCGGTTGGCTCTGAGGTATCCGTGAAATCAATGGGGAGTTCCACATCCATGAGGGCGCCAACCGACTCATCCCCTTCTTGATTGAACGTCCAGCCCTCACTCCTCATTGCGCTACACATGCGGCGCCAGACACAACTAAATGTTTTATCCAAGACACCGCTCTTCAAGATGAAATTGGCATGTTCCATGAGCGTGATATTCATCTTCATTGCGAGGTCAAAGTCGTACTTCAGGGCCACAGTCTGCGGCAAGTAATTTCAACGACAGGTTGCTGGCGAGTGTCTCTGGGGCGAGAGTAGCGGCGGGAAGGTATGCGTCGAGAGCGGCAAGCATGCGATCGTTCACCTCCGAATCCATGATAGCTCACACTCCATTACCTTCAGTCTCGTTGAGGACATCGACCGTGTGAGTCTCGGAAGCACCAACGAATACTTTTTGGTTTGAGACCCCGGCCGTGTATGAGAGTCTTGGGGACGAAGGTGGCAATGATGTGCCTGACAGAGATGGGGGGGACATAGGCTAAGGGACGGCCGTAGACAGAGGTCTCTGGCATTCTGGTAACGACCAAGGGAATGATAGGTAGATGGACGATGCAACGAATCTCGGCGCCCTAGCAACGAATTGATCGCTCGCGCTGATCCCGCATTCCTCTCCTCTTTATTAGTACCTCCACTCTCAACGAACACTTGCTCAGCGGGCGCTATGTAGGTCATGGTTTTTCATGAATGCTATGTGATGGATTGATTCTTGTCACTATGCTACAAATGTCCTTGATTGAATCTACTCTCGTAGATTGACTCTTCTCACGTCCCGTCCTGCCCCGTCTTCACCAACAGCATTCTCACCTGCAGATCCTCCAGCTCCATCCCATGCTCCGACTTCAAATGCCTCCTCACATCATACACTCTCCAGAATCGCGAGATACACCGCCCCTTCTCACCCTCATTCTCGCCTTCAACCCCGGATATACCGGCACCCTCGCCCTGGATGGGCGAAGAAATAGTAAGGAGCTGCTCGTTTCCATGCTTGTCTTCTTGCAGGGCTGGGTCGATATTGGGATCGAGCGCCATCTGCGACGCAGTCTCCAAAGCCGGAGGAGCACTCCCCAATGCCCAAGCGGGGCAGACAAACCGCCTAAGCTCCCTCAAAGCCCCCGTCAACATAGCCCCCTCACTCTGCGAACCCCTCCTCGACGCAGGCCGCGACGACGGGCCGGGCGTTCCGCCATTGCTCTCCCCATCGACGCCAGGGGGAGGAGCGGTATCGTGTTTGGAGAGGTGCTGCATGAGAGTAGCTTTGTGGGCGTAGGCTTTGTCGCAGTCGGCGTGGGGGCAGGTGTGAGAGCGGATCTTGAGGTGGACGACGTTGCGGTGGGTTTCCATAGCGTATTTCTGTAACGAAGTCAGCAGCAACTCCAACGCAACGCAAAGATGACTGGCGGTTTTGAACCGTTTCTCGCACTCCATCCAGTCACAAGCATGATCTTTCCCAGCATCTCCCTCGGCCTTTTTCAACTTTTTCGGCTTGTCATCATCGGCAGCCACACTCTCCCTCTTCCTCTTCCGTCTGCTCTTCATCATACCCTCCAACACCAACTGCGGAATCGGCTCTTTCTGCCCATCCACAGCCACAGCCTCCCTCGCCTCTTTGGCCACCCTGTCTGCCTCCTGCTCAGCGTGCACTTTGAGGTGGTCGCGTAAACGCGGGTTGCTCTTGAACGTCCGGTTGTTACATTCTGGGTGAGGACAGGTGGGAGGGTGGGCGTCGGTCATGTGTTTTTGGAATTCGGACCATTTCGAAAAGATGGGGAGGTCGTCGGTGTGGGACGGATGAGCGCAAGTGAACCGTTTGGCTGGGCTTTGTCAGTTTGAGGTGTGACGGGGAGTAGCAGAGCTCACGATCGTGGGTTTTCTCATGGGTTTTGAGATGAGCCTTCATGCTGAAAGACGCCGAGCAATCTTCATGACTGCAGATGAAGGGTTTGGTACCCGCAGGCATATGGACAACAACCACATGTTCGCGCAAAAGGATGTGCTTGTTGAACATGGCATCGCAATGGTCGCACTGTACCAACATTAGTCTTGATCACTGCAAGTTTAAAGGTGACGCACCTTGTATGTTCTCTCTTTGTCATGGACCTCCAGATGCCTCTTCAACTTGGATGGTGTCCAGAATGACTGCGTGCAGCCCTGTTCGGTACAGGGAAAGGGCTTGACCTCAACTTTGAGATGCGTGCGAGCATGAGCCTTAAGGTGGTCCTCTCGGAAGTAAGCCTGGTCGCATTGGACACATTTGTATGGGCGCTTGAGATACCATCAGCCCTCCTCCCAATGTTGGCAAGTGAAAAAGACTCACTTCGCCCCGATGGGTCATCTCGTGCTCGGCCAACCTCGAGGGCTTGGTATACGCCTTCTCGCACCCTTCATGCGTACACTTGAACTTCTTTTGCGTCCTACTGGGATAGTTGCGCTTCGCTCCTTCCGAGGAGGGTAGCTTGGAGGAAGAGGCTTCAGCTGAGACCGCCACACTGACCCTCTTTCTAGGGATCGCGCGGACCACAGAGGGACCTGCCTCCGCAGAGGCCTCGCTAAGCGCAGGAGGTAGAGGAACAAATCCTCTCAGCTCCTCTTCCCCGCGGCTCATCTCATGCAGTACATCGTCCACTACTGCCTCGTTGACCTCTGGTTCGAACTCCGATGCGCCGTCAGAGACCGAAGAAGCGTCCGAGGCGTCTTCCGGCAAGAGATCCGCATAGTTGGGTACCGATTTCGCCCTGGAGGGGCGTTGAGGAGAGTCCTCGGGGACAGTGGCTGGGTGTACCAGGGCCATGGCCTTGCTGGTTGTGGGATGAAGATTGTCTAACCTGTTGTTGTTGTGAATTCGCGATATCTCGACAAATTTAAAGCCTGACCGCGGCCGCCGAGAAGGGTGCAAAGTGGGGGGTCCAAAAAAGAGCAGTGGCTTGACACGCTCAGCTGCGATTTCCTAATTCATAAACAAAACCATCAATCCATTTCTTAAGCACTCGTATAGCTCTACAGCCCCACCAAAGATCATCAAATCATGTCCGTAAGTGTCAAAATCATCCTATGCGCTTGGAAGGGAGGATACGAGGCGCAAGAGGCAGAACGTGGCTGACTACTTCTTTCGCGCACAGGCCTATGACAATGCCGCTCCAGCGCGACGACCCGACATCAAGAAGAAGCTCGTAGTTGTTGGAGATGGAGGTACGTGAACTATCCCCAAGCAAACCATGCGGAGGCTGATAAGCTATGCAGGTTGTGGAAAGACTTGTCTCTTAACGGTCTATGCCGAGAAGCGGTTCCCCGTGGTACGTGCTATGGACCTGATACTGAGATGCCCAGCAGCTGACAGCTATAATCAGGAATACGTCCCCACCGTTTTCGAAAACCTCATGACCATGATCCCCTCCCCCACCGACCCCTCAAAAATCATCGAACTCGCTCTTTGGGATACCGCCGGTCAAGAAGACTTTGACAGACTACGGCCGTTGAGCTATAACGACACGGACGTGATCCTTATTGTGTTTGCTTGCAACCACCGCCCAAGCTTGCTGAATGTACAAGATAAGGTGCGTTATCACAGATGGGGCTGGAGCGCGATGACTGATATTGGACATTAGTGGTTTCCAGAAATGGCCCATTTCTGCGAAAACGTCCCACTCGTCCTCGTCTGCACCAAGACAGATCTCCGTACCGAACAACAAACACAATCCCTCATGGCTGCTCAAGGAACAACGCCCATCACTACGCAAGAGGGCGAGCGCGTGGCGAAAGAGATTGGGGCGAGACGGTATATGGAGTGTTCGGCCAAGGAAGGGCTGGGAGTAAGAGATGTCTTTGATGCTGCTGTGAGAGAAAGCTTGAAGAAGGGTGGACTGAAGAAGATGAAGGGGAAAAAGTGCGTCGTGCTGTAAAGTGCTGCTAGGATGGAGAGGAGAGTGAGAGCGTATTTTGGTGGGATTTGACGACGAGCATGCTTCGCCCATGACCACGAAGTTGTACTGTAATGATTACGAGCTTATATACCACAGTTCCCGATTGATTAGATCTATATATCTACACGATGGATCCAACACATAATCATGACCGGAATGGGTGACCCCCGTGTCATAACGACTCAAAAGGCGTCGAACCGACTTATAGTCATCCGAGAATAGTATAGCTCAGAGGCAGAGCGCGTTGAAGTGTGACTCGAAAAGCGGATAGAGGGCGGAAATGTGTTGGTGGTGAAACTAGCGCAGTTTGGCGACAAGTCTGGCCTCTTATTCCCCGGTCGAGTCATCCTCAGGGAGATTGACACCCTGTAAGAGGCTGTGAGGGCACTCTGATGTGATATGGGTCCATGTACGAGGAACATGGCCATAATTAAAGACACGAAGCACAATGAGATGTTGAACGAAGACCGTACGGGAATGGTCTGTTGTGACTTTGTAAATAATCTGTAGATTGTCGCTAATAAACCTTGCAAGTGTTACAGAACATCCCAAGTTGCCATCCTTCTGCCATCTTTCACAAATCATGATCACATGCAGCACCCACCACCTCTACCTATCTCTCGCATATCGCTCAGCAACATGACCTAATAGTCCAACCCCCTCCCCCAACGTCTCCTCATGTTTACCGACCCCGTCTTTGTCAGGCATATCATGTCCACATTATTCCCGAGCTTATGCCTGATATATTTTGAGGGCGCGAGGCTTATGGGTTCTGGTGAATATGGCGATGAGATTTTGGCGGGAGAGATGAGGGCTGTGGAGGCGATGTTGAGATACGATCCAAGCTTTCGATAAGAAGAGTTGGGACGAGAGTTAGTATTACGATAACGACCAGGATGATAATGACCGGAATGATAACGACGAGGAACGTACTGTGTATACCTTCGTGGTATATGAATCAAGTCACTTGTAACATGCCGATTTATACTTTGTCAAGCAACTGAGGGTCCAGATACCGCATCAACGACGTTGAATGGCTCCAGTCCGTGGTGACTACATAGTCTAGTACAAGCACTACCCGAGATCCTATGTCATACAGCTACAACAGTCCCATCTATGAACCAAGAAGCCCTGCTCCAACGTCTACAGCTTCAGCTGGGTCTTGATAGCCCTTTCCAAGTCTTCCGTCCCTTCGTCCTCAACAGCTTTGGCAGCCTTCTTCGACTTCTTCTCAGCCTCCTTCGTACCCTGCCCCGCCACTTCACCCCCTTCTTCCTTCTTCCACTTCCTCTCCAACACCCTTCTCCCATCCCTCACCAGCTCTTCCAATTCCTCCCCCCACCCCAGCTGCTCCGCCAACCGCCGAGCCCCATCATCTGCATTCCCCTCATAAAACAGATCTCTGGAAGATGGGGATGTGCTCTTGTAGGACGTGAATGGGCCCACGGGTTCGCGGTTGATGAGGAGTCGAGGACAGGTGGGGGGGACGTAGTTGACGAGGGAGGCGAAGGGTTGGACTTGGAGGGAAGTACCGATGACGACCAGGAGATCGCACTTTCGTAGTTCCTACTCGAGGGGTCAGTTTTGGTGGTTGTCAGAAGTGATGGGTGCTTACTGGTATGAGCTCAAAGAATCTGTCAGGCAGACCTTCTCCAAAGAAGACGATATCAGGCTTCACTAGCCCACCGCACGTCTGACTCTTCCCCTTCCCTTTCCCTTTCCCCTTCCCACCCGCATCCTTAAGCGTAGCATCACACTTCACAACCTCTCCCCTCCTCACACCCGCCCTCAAAACCTCTTCCCGGTCCACTTCCCGTCTACATTTAAGACAATGGGCGGTAGCGAATGATCCGTGGGCTTCGACAATCATGTCGGAAGGGAGGCCGGCGATGGATTCGAGAGTGTCGATGTTTTGGGTGAAGACGCGTTTGAGGACGTTGTGTTTGCGGAAGAGCTCGAAGAGGTAGTGCGTTGGAGTAGGCTAGCATCCATAAGTTTCCGTGTCTTGGTGTCAGTGTATGGGAGATGTACGCACAAAATGCTTTCCAGGATAGATTTCCTTCGCCAACGCCCAAAACGGCTCCGGCCTCTTCTGAAAGAAACCTAGCTCAAAGACAGCTTCGGGGAAAGGCAAGTTGAGAGCTTGGAGATTGTGGTACAAGCCTGTCTCGGGGGATCTGAAGTCGGGGATACCGGCAGAGGTGGAGATGCCGGCACCGAGGAGGAAGACGACGTTCTTGGCTGGTTTGACAGGTCAGCGATGCCGTCCCAGTAATTGAGGATGAAAATGGCTTGCCCTTGCCCGACTTGATGAGTTTGGCAGCTCTCCGAAGAGGGTCAAGGCTATCATCCCCGAAAGATTGCTCTTCTTCATAGGGACTGGAAGCGTCTGACGCCTGCAGATACGTCAGGTTCGTCTGGACCATCTGATAGTGAGGTATCCTTACCTCAGAAGAGCTCTCCGAATCGCTGTCGACCCCTGTCAGGTCTTGTTTAGGTTCTTTGTTCAGCTCATTGCTATCTGGGGAGCCTTGTGACAAACTTGATTGCTTGTTGTCGGCTTTGGAAGATCGTCCAGACCTAGACAAAGGGATGAGCTCAGTCTCCTAAATGTAGAGTTTCTCGCGCCCTACATGTCTGCTGATTTGAAATATGCCAAAAGTGTTTATTGATGTTCGAGTTGAAGTTCAGCGGTAGCTATACCTCTGACTTGGGTGAGCTACAGTCTCGAATACCATCTCATCGTCATTCCAAGCCCGGAGTGGTGTTACGTACGCAGATTGGCGGCCGCCGACCGCCGCTCTCGCGCGAGCTTGAATTGTATCTTGTTTTCATTCAACATCTATTACTTCTCCCAATATCGCCCTATCAACACCATGGCTAACGTCATGTCCCTCGTCCCTCCCCAGATCCACCCCGTTCCGGTCCCCACCATCACCGCCAGCCTCACACCAAAGGCGCTTGACTACGGTCCCATCAAGACGACGAGTACTCCCTTCCCCACTGTCTTTCCCACCGACCCAACGTTTGCATGATTGCGGGTTTTTGACATACGATTGTATGCCCTCACCCCGCCCCATGCTACCACACCACCGACATGACCCCCAAGCTGGCTGCTGAAGCCGGGGGCGGGCACGGGGAGCAGCACGCTGTTTTCGAGCGACCTCTCAGCCAGAATGGGCATGCGACTGATGTAAGCACACCTGGAATATCCGGTCCCAGTCAATGAAAAACCTGGAGCGCTCTTGCAGCCTCGGCTGCCCGCGTCTTTGGTCGGCAACGTATATGGCGAGTGTGACCGTCTAGCCTCGTCAGCCAGCCCTCTTCCACCAAAATCGGAACGACCACTGGCTCGGTCATCGAAGTTGGAGGGGTTTCAGAATGACATGCGGGCGAGAAAACACGAGAGCGCCATCAGGGTAACAGAGAAGGAGGGGACGTGCGGCCTTTGACATGCAACACTGGGCCAATACCCTTGCTCGGGTAGGTACTAGAGATGCTGTTGTCAGCCATCAAAAATCTTCAGTGACGCTAGAATAGCGAAGATAACCAAAACGGTATCGGCATCAACATCCCAATGGCTTGACCTTGACACCATGCGTCAAGAATGGGATCCGGCTCCTCGGCAGCCACTTTTCCAGCTCCAAGCCTCACACCTAATGTCCTTCGTGCTACGCTACTGTCGCCAACCTTACCATCTTGAAGCGAGCATACGGATTCGCTGTGGGGAGATCTCGAGCAATCCCACACCCATTCTTGCCTCATCTCAAGGGCCTACGAGATGCACTTGCCCTTTGAGCGTGATCGCTCGGTTCCCAAACGCCTTGCGCGTCGGTCAACATCGCGAGCAGGTGTTGGGGGAATGTCCCGACCTGGTCATGACTCCCCTCTTCTCTCACCCCTCGCTCCATCTTCACCATTATCGTATCTTCCCCTAACCAATACATCTGTTACGGCCATATCAAGGGTATGCAGCACTGAGCTGTCGGTCCCGCAGGTATGTGCTCAATACGCTCATGTCAGTCACCAGGGACTTGTACTGACACTAGTGGCTGTAGCCCTGTACGGATTAAGAAAGTACGTCACGGCCAACATAAAGTACGTCAGTAATTGCGCCTCACACACATCACCAGAGACCAGAAAGAGACTCACGAGTTGCCGCTCCCCTTCCAGGTCTCCAGGTGGTACCTCGTCTCACGAAACGGCACCATCGTGGCCGACTCCCCAGGATAACCAGCATCGCCCAGATAGTAACGACCCTCAGGCACAATAAAGGTCGTCCTCCTCGCCTCGTGGAAGATCGCCGCGTCGTTGGCGGAGCCCTCGTAGCCAGCTAGCAGGTACTGGAAGCGGATGTCAAAGCTCGCACTAGCCATGAGATTGACCGTGAGAGTTGACTTGCGCGACCTGTACTTGTGCTTCACTTCCTCGGGAACCCTGACCACGATGTGGCTGCCGTCAATAGAGCCGAGGGCGTTGTGGAAGTAAGGAGCCAAGGTCGGTCGTTGGGCGAGGGCAGGGGGAGGAGACGGGTAGTGGACCGTAGGGTGCGATGAATTATCTCTAAGTCCAAATTGAAGCTGCGCAGCCCAACCGGCGATTCTAAATAATATCTCATGAAATCCGTGTCTTGTCCGATATCTTATGTCTGGCCTCATCCAAGAAATTGACATCTGCATACACCCTAAGATCACATCTATATCACATGTTTCTCTCAGCTAATCAATTCTTTTCAGGCAAAGGAGGAGAAACAGCCGAAGACGAGGGCGAAAGAACCGACCCAGAGCCTGAACTGATCTGAGGCGAAAGCCCGTCCACCCTCTCTTTCCCCTTTCCTTTCCCTTTCCACCACTTTTTGCCTTCTCCAGCTCCGCCCCCACCCCCGATATCAAGATTCGACATGCTCGCGCCCAACCCCAAAGGCCCAACCACCACCCCGCCCCGCCTCCTCTCCACCTGCAACCCACCCGCAATCGCCTCACTCCGCCCCTTCCTCTCCCTCACCCCTTCCTCCCCTTTCGCCCTCTTAAACTCTTCCAGCACCCGTCTCTTATCCTCGGAAGAGAGGGAAGCAGCTTGGAGTTTGCTGATCTCTCGACGGGGAGGACGGAGGGATTCGGCAGGGGATGAGGCGGCGAGTTTGGCTTGTTTGGCGGAAGAGTCGAATTCGCGGAGAGCGCCTTGGGCGGTGTAGGTTACTGATGTGATGACGCCGCCGAGGGGACGGGTGACTGCTCCCACCGCTTTTTCCTAGTCAGCATCCCTGTTTCCACAAGAAGAGGAAAGATGCTCACTCCCTGCAACGAGACCAAACACCCCACCAATAGGTCCCCGATTGACCAACCCATCCATCGGCGCCTTCACAAACCCCTTCGCCCCATCCTTCACCCCCGTCCAAGCTTCATTCCTCGCCTCCCTCAGCCCGCTCTTCCACCCCGTGATAGGCCGGCGCGTACGTGATGCCTGTTGGTATTCCCACGACCAGGTGCCAGCGGGGGTTTGGGTTTGGGAGATGAGGAGCGGTTGGAGGGAGGGGAGGTCGATGTCAGGGTTAGAAGATGAGGAGGGGTGGAAGAAGGGGAGGACGGAGAGGACGGAGTCGGTTAGGGAGGAGAGGAAGGAGCCGGCGCCCGCTGTGAGGGGGTTGGGGTTGGATTGGGTGGTGGGGTATTCTTTGGCTCCTGTTCTCACATCAGCTTTGTCCCCTAAAAGTAGAGGAGGACGACGTACGGTTAGGAGATAGGTCCTTGAAGCTGATTTTGCCAGCTTCGACCAAGACCCCTGCTGCTACAGCGGAGAGATGCAGGTCCAGCGCGGGGTGGTGCCATACAGCGACTCTCGCGGGGACGATATCGCACCTGTCCTCCTCATCAGCCCTTCCTCCTTCATTCCCCATGGATGGTATTGAAGCTTACCGCATGTTGGCCAAAGGCAAATGCCTATGCAAACTCGCCACAGCCCCCAACAACCCATCCTCCCGACTGAGAATGTACCCCAACTGTCTCGCCCCGGCGGAGAGAGCTTCGGCTTCGGTGAAGGCGTCCATGAGGCCTTCGAGGCTGAGAGCGGGAAGGGGGATGGGGGAGGTGGAGATGTTGAGCTGGCGCATCTGGGTCGTGTAAAAGCTGCTGTGATGGTTAGTCTCTTTCAAGCAAAGAGTGGAAAGATAACTTGCCTGGAAGAAGCATCATTCGCGAGGATGATGGACGGCAGCCCAGCAACAATAGCCCTACTACTAACCCCCTCCCCACCTTCATGACAAACCGCACCCAGAATACCTTGTTCCAATAGCCATTCAAAGGGACTCGCTTCTTGCGCTGTGAACCATGTCATGTGAGCTCGAGGATCCATGGAAGAAGGGTGGAGGGAAGACTTGCGGGAGACGATGTAGATGTCTGGATTCTCGCCGTTCTTGTTGTAGTAGTTTTCGATATCTAGGATGAGTCGTTTGTTGGCTTTGAGGGCTGCGCTGATAAGAAGTGCTGAGAGGCGAGTCAGAGAAGAACCAAACAAAAGACGTGAAGACGCACCGGCTATCTCGCCCGCCTCGTCCTCAGCGATAGAATCCAACCTGCCCACATAAGCATCATACTCTAGTATAGATAAGTAAACTCACTTGACATAGATGGGCGCCCTTCCGCCCTTGACGAAATACCACAACTCATCCCTCGGGCTAAACCCCTCCTCGGCCTTGTCAAGCACAAACCCAGTCACATCTTTTCCCCATCCCACCATCAGCCCTGTGTAACAGTGTATCCCAAAATAGAGAAACTCACCAAGATGCTCTTTCCAATCACCCGGTTTTCGCAGCAAAGGCGGACTCCAAGTGTAACTAAAAGGCACTTTGAGCCGATCGAGTAGCCCAGGGGCGTCGGCGCGCTGGATGGCCGGAAGGCCGAGGGAGGAGATTCGGAAGGTGTTGAGCGTTGGGCCGAGGGAGCGCCAGATTCTGCGCAAGGGGTAAGTGAGGGTAAGAGCAAGGAGAAGAAGGAAAAGGGGAGGGCGAGGGGGACGTACTGGGCGTCGAAGAGAGGGAAGGAGAGGTAGTTTGTCACGGATGATGGGGTGTTGGATCGTTGGATCTGGGTGCCGGGGTGAGGGAGAGTGACGGTGGGCGAGTAGGGTGCCGCTGTGGCACATCAGCATCACTACCTGATCTGGAGTAGAAGAGCGTACCAGATACAAGATGAAGAGGCAGACCGAGCAGCTCGGCGATAGAGACGGCACCGGGCACATCTGGCTGGGCGACGATCAAGTCTGCTGCGAAAGGTCGAGCGATGGCAGAGGAAGGGCTGAAGGTGGATTGGAAGAGCGAGCGGAGAGTTTGCTCGAGAGTAGAGGGGCCTGGAGACAATCAGAGGCTGAGCAAAAGGGAATAGCGAGGGACGCACTTTGGATCCAGGTCTTGAGATTCGAGTCGGACGATGCAACAGCATAAAACTCAATCTTGTCCTCCAGTCTCTCACCGTCCTTCCCAGTTTGACCAGCAAACGATGCTTTGGCTTGCACAACGAAATGCTCATGCTCATCCTGGGTGGCAATCCTGACTCGATGACCATGTGAAATAACGAGCTGCTTTGCGAGCGCAGTTAAACGTCGCACATCATCTGAAAATCCATCAGCACCTCGTCCTCCCTTCCGTCCCTTCGGCCTTCCCTGAGGCCCACATCCACACTCACCAGCACTCCCAAGAGCAAACACCAAAACATCCATCCCGGGTACATCCCCCTCCCACTCGGGCTCTACAGCATACTCTTTGACCCCCGGCGCAAAGGTCACAGGCAACTGGGGCAGGCTGTCTTTGACGTCGAGCCAGACGTTGACTTTGCCGCTTTGGGAGAGAGTGGTGCGCGCACTGAGGCCTGGGCCATTGGAGATGAATGCCTGGGGGTCTTTTGTCTTGTCAGCTGTGAGCGAAGAGGGAAGGGGAGAGGCTCACCGTTATCGCCTGGGACGAGTGGCGCCGAGGTCGCGAGGGCGGGAGAAGGCTGGTATGGGGGTGGGGCTTGCATGATACTCAAAGTGATTGGGAGGGATAAGGGAACTCATGTCTCCCTCTGCTATATGTATATAAAATGCGCTGGTGCTAGGGCGAGACACGAAGAGCGATCAGAGCCGGAAGCCCGAGACGGAAGCGAAACGGGAACCAAATCTTGCCCGCGTGTTCCTGAAAGCTGGGCCCGAGAATCCGCCGGGGAGCGCGTTGTTTGGTTCGGCTTGAGTCTTTGGCCTTAGCCCCCCTCGATACCTGTTACCGTGAGTATACGGTACTCTGGGATGAGCAAGGCAAAGCTTGAATCAGGCTTACTGCTTATAGCGAGCCGAGGTGCAGCATCGTCCACAACGGATCTCCTTATTGTGTAGCCAGACTATGGGCGGCTTGATGTTCCCTGATAGCTTGCTGCTGTGACAGCACGATATAGTATCTAGCCCTGTATGCCACATGATTCTCGCTTTTTCTTCTGTGTATCGGTGTCCTCCCCTCTCATCTCATGAAACCGCCTTGGCGACGAGACATTTCCTCTATAAAGTTCCATTAACGTCTCAACGCTAGATCCAGGACATCTCCGGTCCATCTCCAGCAGTTAATCCCTTCTCGGACCCGTCTCAACAATCCGCTGTCATCTTTTCAAAAGGAGATGCGAAAGTGAGTCTACATTGGTCTGCTGTCTGGAATACGTGGCTGACTCTGTGTATCGCCATTCGCCAGACGTCGACCGGCGATAGAGAAAGCATTGCAGGGCGAAAGTATAAGACTCGAAGATGCTCGTAAAATCGTGAGTCAAATTGAAACCAATCCATAAGCCCATTGACGATTGTATCTAGTCGCAAAGGACCCTGATTCGGTGCACATGCGACAAGTGTCCCGTCGGCGGTCGTATCAAACAATTTAGATCCTGGCAATTACATCGTGGCTCGGCGCTCTGGGCGCAACAGGGTAGAACGTTGGAAGAAGAGGAAGCGGCGCGCAAGACAGCAGCTTTGGCTTTGGGATCAACTTCTACCAGCCCAGAGACAGCTGTTCCCACCGGAGGGCAATACCCGGCCCCAGAGCTGCTTTCCAGTAGCACGGACACTTCCGCCCTTCCGAACACGTCAAGCGAAGAGCAGATGGACGCGATGGACACAGAGCCAGAAGCTTCTGCTGAGCCAGCGCCGGAGGGTATGGAGGGCGAGGAGGGCGGCGATGATGAGCGAGGTTTTCCCACATCCACTCCTCCCCCACCCGGCGCGTTCGTCATCCCTGTCCAAAATCCACCTTCACCCTCCCCTCCCACCCCTCCCCTCCCAGACCCAGACCCATACTTCAACCGAGACCAATGCGTACCTATCCTCCCTCCGCGCATCCCTCACCTCCCTCCATCGCACTTGGCAACTCTCAAGCCCAAACAAATGCAGGCTTCAGACTTTGTTGATAGCGGCGCCACAGCTCGCGCCCTTGCTCAGCTGATACCGCAGGCTCTGGCTGATACCGACACTTTGGGAGAAAGGGCTAGTTGGAATGGGGGTGCGGCGAGGGCGCTTGTGGATATTATTGCGAGAGTCCGGCGAGGATAGACGCTTGAGAGGGAAGTGCGGGAGCTGAGGGCTGGTAGGGAGTCGGGCAGGGGCTGAGTGGTGTCGGTGAGGCAGAGGGTGTCCACCGTACTCAGCATCCTGCCTCGGGTCCCCAACCACTTCTGTGCGTTCCGCCAGAACATCGTCGCCTTTGCCGGTCCCCTTGAAAAAGACCGCAAAAGTAAACGAGGGGGGTCTCTGAAGGCTGCCTGGTGCCGTCGCTTGTGTCTTGGAGGATCACATGGTGGCCCCTATCAGGGAGCCGTATCGACATGCCAGCTTCTTCTCCCCCGATAGGGATACAGGCCGACAAGTGGGAAAAGCTGAGAGAAGCGGCACTGGTGAAAGTCAAGTCGTCGGTGGAAGTGGAGGTCCACCCAGACCCCCCTGCCCCGGTGATTGTGGATATGGACCTGGTGAAAGGGATCTCTTTTGGGGACGTGGATGAGGAGATCCGAGAGTTGATTTTGGCTGATGGCAGTCGCTGATATGACCAGCGTCATGGTATGTGTGTATTTGCTGTCGATGACACTGTCGATGATACAGGGCGAGGGAAGCTGATAGGCTTGTAGAGTTCGATCTCCAGTGCCAGTACCAATCGCCGTGGAATGCCTTCTGTGTGAGAGGAAGGAGGTGGATTGGGTACGAAGGCGTCGAGGGGATAGACCTTGGTAGCGGGTACCGCAAGTCGTTGAATAGTACTATCGCAGCTATGGGTGCGATCTCTTCAGCGTTGACAATATGAACCAAACCAGCTGTGGACGTTTGACGTTGTACAACGGTGCATTATACTACAGCTTTTGTGCCCCATGGCGATGATGATGGTTATGATTATGATTTCCAAGCTTTCTTAAACTCCTCAGACTGAGACTGGTCAGCGCTTTAATTGAAGTCCAGAGACAACGATTGCACTCACCTTGGCAGCCAAAACATCCCAGCCGGTGCCACGTCCGTTCAGGACCAATAGTAACCGGTCCACCTTGGCCGGCTTGGACTCTGGTAACAGCTTTTGGCTCACAACCGAAGGTGAAGGCGTCTCGGATGCCCCAAGCGATAGACTCGTGAAATGTAATCTTCCGAGCTACTCCTTGTCAGCACCCGGCTACACTTTGGCACAAATAACGCACCTCGCATTCCATTTTTGCCGAACTTCCCTCGTTCCACTGACTCGCCAGTCCAAGCAACAGTCTCACTCGTGCCGGAGGATCCAAGTACGGCTCATCCACACCCTCTCCATTGCCATTGGGCGCCCCATTGCCGTCGTCTGAATCTTCGTCGTCGAGATTGATGGAGGCGCGGCTCATGAGGCGGCCCTGGGGTGTGATGAGGAGGGCGGTATGGGGACCATTGGCGTGATTGGAGGAGAGGACGTCTGTGAGGGCGGCATGTATTTTTGAGGGGGAGATGAGCATGGTGGATGATAGAGAAAAGTGAGATGGGCGAGATGGCATAGAGTGAGGACAAACGGAAGCCCGCGACGGAGATGGCCGCCTCCACTTGGGGGATTGTCGAAGCAGTCGAGAAAGTGTCATCAATATCTTTTGGAACTGCATCTCATCTTTCTATCCCCCCTGCCTCTATACTGCTCAGAGAACTATTCTTAAGGGGATTTCTGCCTCAAGATGGCGTTCCGGCAATCCCTCCACTTCAAGAGTTCTTTCCTCACCCCTCCTCGGTCATACTCCCAGCCATGCTTCTCCCTCCGTCCTCAACGGAACTTCACTACCCAAGGATCAGTCGTCTCAAGGCAAGCTATTGGCAGAATAACGCCAAAGAGAATAGCCGTACCCCGGTCCTCGGTAGAAGGCGCGGCGCCGGTGGACAATGGGATGCCTCATCGATCTATTTGGCGGCCATTGATCGTGAGTCAGCTTGAAAGACTGAATGGGATGAGCTGACGGTATGTAGTTCTGTGCGGCGTTTGGAGGAGGAGGTTATGCGCTCCTGGCTTTCTACACCAATTACGACACTCAAGTATGGTCGGACAAGATGGGAGGCGGAAGCTGGTGGCGGCTTGGGGTCGACCAGCCTTCGGATCGAGAGATGGCTCGAGCAAAGCAACTAGAAGGAGCCAAGGTATGTTTCCGTCTGTTTTATACGATCGTTTCGGCTGATACGTCTCGCAGAAAGCACAGAAACTGCTGAATGAGCTCCCCGCCACTCTCTCTTTCGTCCCAAACCTCATCCTCGTCCCTATCCTCCGAACATACGTCCTCTTTTCCGAATTCTACCTCAACTCTCCACCAGCCCAGCTTGCGCCTCTCGCCCTCATAGGCGGTATGGGCACGATCTTCTTGGCGTGGAAGGTTCCCAGGGCAGAGAAGTTTATGCGGAAGTGGTTTCTGCATAGGCCGGTCATTTACACGGCTTCTGCCAAGAGGGAGTGGGCAAACTGCGTGACGTTGTTTACTAGCACCGTGAGTCTTCATTGTAATTTTGAAATCAATGGGCGGTATACTGATGATCCACGTGAAGATCTCCCACCAATCACTCCCTCACTTCGCTTTCAACTCTCTCGCCCTCTTCTCCTTCGGGGCCGCTTCCTTCACCTTCCTCTCCGCCCCTCCCGTCACACCCTCTCTCCCCACCTCTACCCACTCCCCACACTTCTACGCCTTCCTCCTCGCCGCGGGCCTCTTCTCCTCTCTCGGCTCTCACCTCTGGACCAACGTCTTCCGTCTGCCTCGGTTGATCAAAGCCATCCAGCATCCCGCAAGGATCTCCAGTCCCCAGGCGCTGGCGAACCAAGCCGCCATCCTACCAAGTTTGGGAGCGAGTGGAGCTATCTATGCGGCATTGACCATGACCGCCTGTGCTTTCCCCGATTCTGCCGTCGGCATCATCTTCATTCCTTTCGTGACCATCCCCATCGGGTGGGGTGTGGCGGGGATGGTGGCTGTGGATATGATCGGTCTAATTCGTGGATGGAGGTGAGCTTTGCACCTTTTCTCTTCCCTGGAGGCACGCTGACGTTGAGTAGGATGTTTGATCATGTAGCGCATCTCGGAGGAGCCCTCTTTGGCTTCTTGTACTATGGCTACGGGAGGGAGGCTTGGCTTTGGACGAGGAGGAAGCTGGGCGCGCAGGAGAGGAAGGCTGGGTATCTGTAATATGTAGTGGAATGCTGACATCATGCATGAACATACTACCATTCTACCGAGTCTGGCGAATGTCGCAGGCGGGTGATGATATCCGAGTACAATCTAGGTGGATCTTTGAATCTTGCGGCTGGGCTATGGTGACTGCCGCTGAAGACCGGTGATGAAGTCAGAGCAGATGACGATTAGAGAGAATGTATACATGTAGACTGTCCAGAGCGCGAGAGTATAGAATCTGGACACCCAACAAAATACTATTACGAAAACAATTGTCCGACTATGCTACTCAATGACTGACTTTCGCTTCTCATATATATGGTGGTATTTCCCTTCACCTACTACTCAAAATTATAATGTTTGTCCGTTCCACTATGCCATACGCTGACTGTCCTTCACCTTCCTGACACTACAGGCGGTAGTAGTCATCGCTTTCATCCTCATCGTCTCCTCCGTCGAGCCATGTCTTCCAGTTCTCTCCCGAATCTTCGATAGGGGAAGAGTCTTCAGTGGAGTACTGCTCTTCAATAGGGTCTGAGTCGTAGTAAGCAATAGCAGACACCGGACTCGAGCTCGGCCCCGCCTCTGCTTCGCCCGGGTAGTACCCTCGTTCATCAAGATCTGCCCTAGAGTTCGCGCAGGCCGCCAAGAGATCATCAAGATCAGTGTTCCGCTCCTCCTCTGTCATGGGCATGTCGGGAAGATCGGGAATAGGGCTGAAACTGGTGTACTCGGTGGTGGGGCAGTACGAGTCAGGGGTAGTGTTGGGGAGGGAGCTGAAGTCGGCAAAGTCGTCGGAGGTGGGGCGCGACTCGGGGGTGTAGTTCGCGCCTTCAACCTCTTGACTCTTCCCTTTCCCACTGCTACCCTCAGGCGGATCAGACACCTTGCGTCGAATAGTCTTGTAGACGGTCATGAACTTCTTGTTCTTCCTCTTCTTGGGAGCAGTGGCCGGCTCCCCGGCAGCCACACGCTCAGCCTTCTCAGCATTCTGGGCCTGCTTGCGGGCTCTATATTCGGCTCTTGCCTCGGCCGTCGTCTCAGAAGGGTGGATGCGAGGTTTGGAAGGCATGATGCAGGGTATACCTTTCCGATAGCATTCAGTGCAAGATTCCGTACGGTCGTCGGCGTCCAGTTTTACGCACTGCGGTCTGGTCAGCCTTCATCTGGTGGTATTGAGATCGAAAGGTACTTACACGATGTCTGCGTCTTTGGCAATCCAAGCATGCAGTCCAAGTTCGCTGGGCCTGCCTGATCATTTTGCCCTCTTTCTCGGGCAAGGAGTGAGAAGCAGGGCTCGGCCTCTTCTCACCCTCGTCGGAGGAGTCTCGCTTGCGCTTCGAGCTAGACTTGGGGGTGGCTCTCTTGGGCTTGGGAGGAGTAGCGATGGGAGTCTGGATGATCTCTGGAGGAGACAGACTCTGGCTCTGCGAGGAAGAGGCAGAAGAGCAGACGGGTTGAGTCTCGGGGACAGAGGACGGTACGGCGCCAGCAGAGGCGGTGGTGTTATTTTTGGACGGTTCAAAGTGGGCTTTGATGAGACCAACCACCTCTGGGCTAGGATTGCCCTGTGCGACAAGCGATGCCATGACATTGAGCTTGAGGTTGTCGTCCGTACCGGCCAGAATCATTCGCAGGAACGTAGCTTGGTCGACGACAGGGGAAGAGTTGACAGTACCGCTGTTCTGGGACTGGGTAGGCTCGACGGGGTAGGCGTCAGCGGGCTGTGTGGACTCGACGGCGTAGGGGACGGTGGGCTGTGCGGGCTGGACTGCAGGCACGGCGCTGAAGGCTGGCCCGAGGGCAGTGACGGGCATCTGCAGCATAGCTTGGAAGGCAGGGTTGTCGATCCCGCCGGATGCCAAGAACGCCTGCTGGGCTTGCTCGTCGCTGGAGGAGAAGCCGAAGTTCTGGGCAGGAGAAGCTTCGAAGGTAGGCATGGGGCCCCATGACTTAGTGCTGAGCTGCTTCCCATGAATGAGGGAAGGGGAGAGAGTGGGCTGGGATGCATTGGCGGAGATGGTGGCGGAGATGCATTGGCGGAGATGGTGGCGGAGATGGTAGCCTGCGGAGTCACCTGGAGGAAGCGGGGGTCCATGCAGGCGCCATTGTCGGGGAATCCGTTGGCGGCGAAGCCATTGCCAGAGGCAGTCTCGACTGAGTAGAATGTCAGCCGGGGGTCGGGAGAGGTATACAAGCCTTCTTACCAGCCGGTGCGAATTCGGAATGAGCGTTCGCCACCCACTCGCCGTCGGTGGTGGCCGCAGCTGGGACAGCGCCATTGTAAAGGGCTTGAGGGTTGGGAGAGAGGGCAGGAGGAGCGTCGACTGTGAAGAAGATCAGAATGTGCCAAAAGACATCGGCGGGCAGCTTACGGTGAGCGGATTCCGCCGCCACCCGCATCTCCTCCCCTGTGGTCGGGACGTTGAATGAGGCAAAAAAGGAGGCTTCATTGTCAATCACATTGAAAAGCCGAGTGGGATCGTTCTCTGAAGCGGTGATTAGATAAGATTCAAGATTGCGGGAAGAACAGTACTTACCGAGAAATTCATGAAGAAGAAATTCTTCGTAATTGGAAGAGTCGTCGACAGTGTTGTCGGCGTTGGCGTTCTGCTGCGCCACGAGGGACACGTAGGAGTCGGCGGGGTTACCCATAACCTTGAGCATGTCCATGATGATGGATACTGTGAGTGTAGAATAGGTGGTCAGGCTTAAAAAGCAGAGGAAGAGACAGTGGGAGTGGCAGTGAGTGTGGGAAGGGGCTAGGGGGTGTCGCGTTATGTGGTTATACTTAACGCTGAGCGTGAGTTATACCGGGGGTGAATGGATGATGGATGGAAGAGAGGCTGAATGTGGGGGGAGATGGTCTTTCAACTCTTTTCTGGGTGCCCTTCATCCGCCTCACCCGCTAAAGCAAAGTAGTTCTTGATGACCACATCCCGGAAGTCCTGCGGAATAAGAAAGAGGTGAATGTCGGAAAGAGTGGGAGGGCTATTTCGCGCTCGTTACTGATCGCAAACTTTGGATAGAGGCCTCAGAATGGAGCCAAAGCTATGAACTACATACGCTGTGAATATCGCTACTGCACATGCATGCAGCGACCAGGTATACATCTTGAAAGCTCGCGCAATTCGCGACGCGTCGTACGTCCCGCTGATGGTACCTGAAGGGCCAAAGGACGTCTCCATAATTTCCTTTTCTGGTGTCTTTGAGCCTCATGCCAGCGTTCAGCTGTTCAGGACTGTATAGCTCTGTTTTGTCGCTGTATGGGGGGTGTCAGAGCGACCTAATCAGCCACACAAGCAGATGTATAGGACTACCATCGATCAAAGGTCGATTTGTACGCACTCGACGCGTCTTTTTGAGCTGTTCTCGCCCGTCTGCCGGTATGCGTCTCTCATCCAGCTACGGGGCCTGCTACTTTGCCACTTCGAGAGACTTTATGCCTCTCCTCTTACTTCGTGCTCTGTGCTCATCCAGCTGGTATCACTCAACTCGGGCATGTCCGCTCGTTTTGATCCCGCGTTCCTCGCACCTCCACTCTTCAGCTCCGTTCTGCGCCTGTGTCCGGCTTTCGGTCATATCTACGGAACTCCGTTACAAACTCGCCATAATGCTACCACGGGGATCATAGCATCATGGATGACAATAATCAACCACGAAAATCTACCATCATTGGTCAAGGTGAGTGGATGGCAGTAGGGCGCAGCGTCGTACTAAGACACGGTATCGGTAGGACGGCATGGGTCGGTCATAGCTCAACCGACAGCCCAGCAGCTTTCCAGCAAGGACAAAGAGCCAATTAGAAGTGGTAGCCAAGGACAAGATCACCAGTCCGGGAGCTCAGGCGGACGTCCAGGGTGGTATGCCGTCAAAGTCGTATCAGCCCCTCCAAACGGTCGGTCAAGACATATGGCGCCGCACGATATCCTCAAAGAAGCCAAGATCCTACAACGTCTTCATCACCCAAGTGTAAGTGATCTATCAAGAGCTCGTGCAGACAGCTGATGCTGTTACAGATTGCCAAAGTGCTTGCGTACGAGTATGATACGTCTCTCCTCGACCACAAGCTGTATATGCCGCTATACGTCTGTTCCCTATCTTCCCTCTTTGCCGACCCCTCCTTCACATTCATATCCTCGAGAAGGAGCGTGCCAGCATCGCTCTCCTATCAGCTCCTCTCAGCACTATCATTCCTCCACTCCAAACAGATCGCGCACCGCGATATCAACCCTTCGAACCTCGTACTCGACATTCACGGCAACCTCAAGCTCATCGACTTTGGTACTACCTGGGTACCTTCCAGACTATATCAAGAGTACGATCTCGGTCATGAAGATGATCCGGAAGAGACGGAAGAGGCGATGTACCCGGTTGTAGGCTCAGGCGCCTACCGTGCTCCAGAGCTATTATTCTCTCCGCTCCGGTACGACCCTTATGCGGTCGATATGTGGGCTGCTGGCTGTATCATAGCCCATTTCTTCCGTCCTTTCTCACATTCCTACCCTGCCGCTGTTGGAGAGGAAAATGAGGAGGTTGGGGAGGATAGTGAGGAGGACTATGATCCTCTGGACGACGAACGGCCATCCTCGCCAGCTGGATCTGGTGTTCGACAACCATTGTTTGATGCGAGGTTTGGAGCTTTGGGTCTTGCCGCAAGCATCTTCAGGATACGGGGGACTCCGACGGAGGATACATGGCCTGTATGTATCTGATTCACTCTGAGTACGCGGCTGACCATCGTGATAGACATTCAGAGATCTCCCAGACGCTGAAAAGATCGAGTTCCCGCTATCCTCACCTCAAGATCTCGCAGTCGATCTCCTTTCCGATATCGAATCACTCGGCGAGGCGGAAACAGAGGCCTTGGTAGATGTACTTGAAGGAGTGTTGGCGCTTGACCCGGGGAAGAGGCTGAAGGCAGAGCAGGCTCTGGGGTCAGAGTGGTTCCGCCTTGCCACGACTCGCTGGGAAGAGGGGCATCTGCAGGCGGGCGAGAAGATGGAGTGGTACGATGGACCTTGTGTGGATTGGGTCAGTAGGTCAAAATTGATCATGTAGCCTATGATGTATGCCTGCACCTCATACTCGAAAATTGACTGACGACAGTCTTGATATTCAAAGCAAGATAACCATCACGAAAGAATCAAACATCCGTCCGACACTAATCAAGTGCTACGCGCGCTATGTATGTACGATCATGATCGCCAAGTCTCTCGGTCTTCCGTGGTCTTTCAAAGCCGCAAACGGTACTAACCCTGACCAGGCTATACATCATGGACGAACCGTCGAGCTTCACCGCAAGCAAAGGTGACTGCATTCATACCTCATACGCATCATACCTCATACATACGATTGTCGTACGATGGGAATGGGAAGTAAACGAGCTCTTCGGCCGGACGTGTCCTCTTCTCGCCTATATGATCCCATCTAAAAGACCAAAGCTTAGCTCAACATCCTCCCCGCATTCTTGACACCATACATGGGGCGCTTTCGCTTCCGTCTACGCGTAGAATTATCAGCTTGTATTATACTCAAACGAAACGTCAGAAGCTGGGCTAGGAAGAGGAGGAGCCAATAGAATATGGTCGGCCGCCGTTGCCGACTTTTAGTCGAGAGGTCCAAAAGACAAGAGGGCACCATGGGATGGCTACACATCGTATTTGACGCTAAGCAGAATGTGGGGTCGTCGTGGATGGCTCGTGGATGGAGATCTGATGACGTTTGCGGATATGGATTGATCGTGGTTGCAGTGCAAAGTGTTTGTGGGAGTTCGAAATGAATCGTTTGAAGGCGGGTGTGGAGCGACATACATCCATCCAGAGGTATTGATTGGGGTTGTTGAGCGAGCTGGAGAAGGATGCATTCCGCAATGGCGCTTTTGACAATTCTGGTCGCGAGGCGGTCGACAAAGGCATCGAATGGTCGTGACTAGTTAGTTGTCTTGATGATCATAGACCATCGCGAAAGGCGTTGATGAGACGTTCGAAAGCTTTCATGAAGCGGCACATGCACATGGGCATGCCAAGACAGGGCGAGATCTGGTATCAAATGATTTTGTGGGGGACTGGCGGCTGAGGAAAAGGAGGCTGGTAAGGAGATTGAGACTCGAGGGCTGTCGAAGAAAGGGTTAGCTAGATTGGTTAGCAAAACGGCCGAAAAGCTTCGTCAGTAGCCTCGACGCCACGACGTCTTTCCCCAACAAGACACCTTCGCCACCTCTGCCCACTCAGCATCCTCCTGCCACTGTCCGCCATCACCTTCTTATCTCCCCCACATTGCTCAAATTGATTGAAAAGACAAGACAACAAAAGAGTGTGGGTAATGCCATCCATGTTTGATCCAATGTCTGTGAAATCATACATGCATCCCTAGGCGTGAACCGAAAGATACGATTATGACCTAGGCTTCTCCCTGCAATGTCTGTCAGTAAATGACCTCACGAGTCAATGGATGAAAACTCACTTCTTCTCCTTCCAGAGGGCAAGGAGACCGACACCAGCGACCTTGACGACCTTGAATCGGACACCGGGGATATCACCCTTAGCCTTTCCTCGTCGACCGAAACCAGAGATGAGGACCTCGTCGTTCTCGTCGGTCTGCGGCTCCATCAGCAATTGTCGCCAATAATCATGAAGATAGACTGACGAAGTTCAAACAACCGTCGTTGGGGACGAAAGCGGTGACCTTCTTGCCGTTCTTGATGAGCTGGACTCGGACACACTTTCGGATAGCAGAGTTGGGCTGCTTGGCCTCAACACCGATCTGATCGGAGACGTTAGTGACAATTCCATAATCCACGCTTCTTCCCATCTCCCTCCCTTGTTCCTCATCCTTCTCTCATGCACGCCATCCGTCCCCCTATTCCGTCTTGATCGTTCTCCAACTCACCTTCTCCAAGACGATACCCTTGGCGTGGGAAGAACCACCGGTGGGGGAGGTCTTGTAGAACTTGCCGAGAGCTCGCTTCTTGTAGTCGTTGTCGGCCCATCGGTTCTCTCGACGGTCGGTACGGAGCTTTCGCGCGGCTTGGAGACCCCTAGGCTTGTTGGAACCCATGTTGATTGATGCTTGGTGGATGAGGAGATTTCAGCAAATTCGACATTCACCTGCCACGCGCGCCACAGCCTGCACCAGGAGATCTGCGGCGAAATGCCCCGGCGGATTGTGGCGCGGCGCACGCGGAAGCAAATGGGTTATCACCGATGATTGCGCGGGTGTGCTCTGATCAACCATAAACAAGCCATAAATACATGCAGTTCTTCTCAGATGCATGCCAGAATTGCACTCTCTTCCTTCAGACACTCATGCGATACTATATACCTACCATCTTCGGCCAGAGAGGCTGTGACTTGCTCCATGGCCCCTCCTGTTGAATTACGGATTGGATATCACTACACGACTATATAGCCTTCGCTCCAGCATATTCCTCGACTGACACGAAGCTCAAGCTGACTTTCAGAATGATTGGCTTCGATAACTATAGCAGAAGCTTTAGCTGGCTGCCACCCTCGCCTCATACTCTTAAATCCAGTACCCCTGCTCAAGCCATCACCTCCCCGCTCTCATCTACAGCCGCCATATTTCATCTATAGCCGCTGCAGAGTACGTACGTCGCCCCTTGTTTGAGGCATTGCCATCCCAGATGACGTCCCCCCGTCGGCGCTCTGCTTGTGGCCCAATGATATGTACCGCGTTGTGCGCCGAGAAGAGCGCTGAGGACCGGCCACCATCGAGTTTCAGATGCTCGAGACGTGGAAATCCGAGTAACCGCACTGGCGCAATGAGCTGCTATCTTTACGTTAGGGTTCTTGTCTGTGTCGCACTACTACCGACTCACATGCCGCTCTTATCAATGTACGATAACAGAAACGACGATACGGCAATACCGCTGCGCACAGTATCAGTATCGAGTAAAGCGCCGCGGTACCGCTGCACATCTTACCTCTTTGCCCATCCATTGATCTTTGGACATACCGCGCTCGCTCCCAGCCCGGCGCCACATCCGCCTGCCCGCCCTAACGCCCTTCCCGATAGAGAATCAGATAGGAGTAATAGGGAGAGCGCGAGTGGAGCTTTCAAGACGCCGTATCTCGGATTAATCAGCATTGATCTCGCGAAGTGTGTGGAGTTGATTGGTGGCGTTGTTGACATTCAAAGAGATGTGCAAGCGTACTGCCTTGGGAGTGGTCAGATCGTATATCTTGACGAGGTGACATGGGTCCCACACTATATACTTTATATACCAGTCCGTCGTCTGGTCGTTCAAAGGCCCACCACTGCACGTTCAATTATATGCGGTTCCTTCGCGTTACCCCAAGCCTCATACGTAGCAGTTGATTAATGGACATATATCATCAGCCATTGACGTGGGAGATCTCACATGCATTGCTTCGGGTCGCCTTTCGATGCCTTTTACCGCTCTTGCGCTCTTGCGCTCTCACGCAAGGCCGTCGCTTACGACAGTCCTCCCAATTTACAGGTACGTACCTCTCCATACCTCCTGGGGAAACACGGGCATAGCAAAAGCGGCGAATTGCTCAAGAAAGTTGTATCCGCTCTCCGGCCCGAGAGACAAGAGGAGGTAAATTCTTGGCCGTGCTAGAGTCCGAAGAAGGTGAGTAGCGGCAACGGGTCACTTTTTGTCTATCGTCCCATTGGCCCTGCACAGCTAGCCCAGGGTCGTGTTATCTGATACAAAGGCTCTTATCAGCTGATACGTGTCCATACCCGCGAGTCCCATACACTGTTACTAAAGCCATTCCGCAGAGTGAAAAGACTTCATAAAGACGTACCTGCTAGTTTCATAACTTTGGTCCCGTACCACCTTGAAATAACTCTCCGCCATGTTTAGCAGCAGAGATACCAAAGCCGACGACGAAAAACACAACAACCTTGGCGTGAATGACCAGAAAGACGTTGAGCGTCAGCAAGATGACATCACCCGTGTCGTCTCTGCTTCGTCGCAGATCAACACGATCGATGGGGAGACTGTTGTCGATGGTGTATGGGGTACTTTGGAAGAAGATGCTCCCAACTATCGCGGTCTTGGCTGGTGAGCCTTTTCAATCCTGTGGGAGGGGTAAAGCTGATGGTGATAAGGATCCGAGCGAGTGTCTTGCTGGTCAAAGTTCAAATCGGTCTCGGTGTACTGAGTATCCCAGCGGCGCTCGATGCCCTTGGTCTCGTTCCTGCTATCCTGATTATCCTCGCTGTGTGTCTCGTCATCACCTGTGAGTCTTGGCGGAATGGGTGGAATGCGATGTTGACGCTAGAGATAGGGGCCGACTACATTGTTGGTGTCTTCAAGCTGCATCACCCCGAAGTCTACACCCTCGCGGAGTAAATACTCCCCATCTATCGTCAGGCCATGCTAACTCGATATGATGTCAGTGTTGGTCAGATCATGTTTGGTCCCATCGGTCGTGAAATATTCGGCGCCTTCTACTGGATTCAGCTCGTCGCCGTCGCCGGTGCCGGTCTTCTCGCCTGTTCCGTCGCCTTCAACGCCATGTCCGAACACGGTACCTGCACCATCGTATTCGTCGTCGTCGCCGCCGTCATCAATATCCTCATCTCTTCCATCCAAACCCTCGACAGAATATCTTGGATCGGCTGGATCGGCGTGGGCGGTATCATCTCTTCCATCGTCACTTTGACGGTTGCGGTGGCGGTCCAGGACAGGCCTAGTGCGGCGCCGCAGACGGGACCTTGGGATAAGGAGGTTATGATCTTCAACAACCCCGGATTCATTTTGGGTATCTCGACGTTGTCAAACATCATCTTTTCTTTCGCCGGTACCCCCAACTTTTTCAACGTCATCGCCGAGATGAAGAACCCCAGGGACTACAACAAGGCCATGGGTGTCTGTCAGACTTTTGTCTTGTCTTGCTACCTCGTACGTCCCTCTCTTTCCTCATTATGTGATGCTGACGATAGAATAGATCTTGGGTTGCACCATCTACCACTTCTGTGGTGAATACATTGCGTCTCCCGCTCTCGGTTCCGCTGGTCCTCTCATGAAAAAGGTCTGTTACGGTCTCGCCCTCCCTGGTCTCATCGTGTCTTGCGTATTGAACACCCACTTGCCGGCCAAGTATGTCTTTGTGCGAGTGATGCGTAACAGCCGACACTTGTCTGCCAACACCATCACCCACCGTGTCGTCTGGGTGTAAGTCCCTTCCCTCTTTTCACTCCCCCGTACCGACGAAGCGATAGCTCTTGTGTGATCGGCTCTTGCGCCATCTCCTTTGTCATCGCCGAAGGTATCCCCGTCTTCTCCGACCTCATTTCCCTCATTGGTGCCCTCATCGCCACCCCCAACTCGATCATCTTTGAAGGCATGATGTTCATCTACGACCTCCACACCAACCCGGACAAGTACCCCAACCGAAACAAGTGGTGGCACAAGGGTCTCGAGGTGATGAACTGGGTGGTGATGATTGGCTTTGGGTTGTTTGCGACGGTGGCGGGGACTTATGCGGCGGCGGTCACGATCCGGGCTGATGTTTCGGCCGGGTCCACGACTCAGCCGTTCTCATGTGCCGACAACTCTGGGTGATTGGTGCCTTTGGCGGGTTCGTGTGTTGTTGCTTCAGTTCTATCAAACAATAAAAAGTGTCTTTCTCGGTTGTACATTTCGTCTCATAGTACTCGCGTACTCTTTTGCTTGCATCTTTAGAAAAGTATCATACGTAGCCTGTAGTGTTCTCTTTTTGCTTCTAACTGGGATTTGGAATTGGAATTGTAGCCTTGATTGAATGAATGTTACGATGATAAATGGACCAAACAAGGCAAATAAAAGGGTTGGCACCACGATAGCCAGTCTTGGCTGGTGACGTGTCCGGGCATGAGCCGGACCGGCAATCTTATCGCATCGCACTCTTCTCCCGATGATGATTTCAGCGGAATCAGCTCGTTCCATGCATGCTTCTGGCACGTCCAGCGGGACGTTCTCTTTTGCCGACAACTCCTCTTCATAAAAGTGATGTTTGTCTTTCTTTTGAGAAGTTGTCTTTGCTTGCTGCTTTGGTATACCCTATACCCTTTGTCATACCCTGGATTCCCCATACATGTTGTCTCATAATTCCCCTTGTAGCATTATAAATTATACCTGTGTCTCATAGTATCGCATTGGTGGGGTAGGTGTCATCTGGACTTGTATTTGCATGCTTGCATGAACTCTACATAATGGCATGACAAATAACATCACAAAGTGTTCCAGTACAAATACAAACATAATTATAGATCCATGACTACAAAGTCACTCAACATGAGATATCGTCCGTGATGACTATCAGATATCAAGACATCTCTTCAATAACTCCCCTCCCCCATCGGACAGCATCCAACCATCCTTCCCCACCCCACCTCTGCCTCGCCAGACAACTCAGCCTGTAATATTCTTCAGCCATCTCACTCGCAACTGCCTTTACATCCTCCTTCTCTGCCTCCTTGTCCTTTTCTTGAGAAGGTCTTCTGGGCTTGTGCGACAAAAGGTGGTAAGAAACCGTCTTGTGCTCCACCCCATCCTTGCCGGGAAGTGTCACCAAAAATGTCGACTGTGGGTATATCGTCTGCGGCAACAATGAAGGTGACGAGAGCAGCTCTGCAGGTAACGCAAACGGCAGATGCGTGATATGCCCCGCCAGGGAAGTATCGATGATGCTCGTATTCGGGTCGGTGAGGATGGCCTGGGAAATGTTGGCTATCGCCCTCGGTCTTGGAGGCGCGGTAGGGCAGGGGTCGGTGAGGCATGTGGTAGCCGGGCCGGAGGGGGTGGAGAGGAGAAGGGTGAGGGGTTCGTTGGCGATTATGTCGCGCCATGCTATCGTACTGTCAGGACTCTTCAGATCGCAGACATAGAAAACAAAGACGCACCTTGCCATTCTTCGCGGTCCATCGCGCCGACCCTGCAGACACTCAAATTCCACTCTGTCGTCCCCGACCCAGCCACCTTCTTTCCCCAAGCATGTATCTTTCCCACCCGCTCTTTCCAATCCTTCTCCTTGCTCAACACTTGCAGTTCCCAAGCTTCACCCCTATCATCGCTGATCCAAACAACGACCGCCACATCTTTGCTCAGTACGCTCGACGTCGAAGGAACGACATCGTAGGAGAGATGCCACCACCTCCACCTGTTCAACACGTCCCAACCTTCTATGGGAAACGCGAGTTGAAACTCGGGTTTTTGTTCCTTGTGGCTGGCGAGCGTCCAAGCTGGGGCAGATATGTATCTGTCGTGCGGCCATAGCGGCTCGCCGCGGGATTGTATCGGGGTAAGCAGGAGGGGCAGGCGGTCGTACGCTTCGCGAGAGAGGACGCGGTAGTCGTTCAGGGTCAGGCGGTTGGGAAAGGCGGGTAGGTGTAAGGGTATGAGTGTGACGTTGGCTGGAGTGAAGAATGAGGGTGAAAAGAGCCTGGACGGAGGGTGGGTGCCAGGAGGAAGTGCGATAAAGAGCACGAGATGGTGCTCCGCTTCGAGGAGTTTTAGAAGGGTTGAAACTGGGCTCCAGTCAGCTTTGAACGTATTTTGGTGTGAGGACATACAAGATGTATCAAGAAAGGTTTGGACACCAGCAATTACACCGTCTTTACCCACATTCACCCACTCGGTCTGGCCGAAACGCAAATCTTCCCACCCCTTCTTCAACCCATCAACCATCTCCCGACCTTGTCCAGGGTCGTCCGAAACGACCCCCAGCTTGATATTCTTTCGTCCAGATTGAGGTGTCAAGCCGAGCTCTGACCAATATGATAGAGCTGATATGGATAGTCGGAGGATAAGGGGAGTGTGGACTGTGGATGTTGTTATTTGGGGTTGAGGTGGGACGGTCATGCGCGTTTCACCTGCGATATGGTCAGCGCCGTTCAAATATGAACAAGCTACTTGCCGTGTTCACTGAAAGCGCTCAACGCATCCCCACCATTCACCACATCATCCACCACCCCTCTCCCCCGCTCATTATCCGCATCCCTCTTACCCAAAACCGTCCGTCTAAACGATCGGTTTGTAATAACCTCTCTCACAACCTTCTCCCAATCCACATCCGCACTCTTCCTCGCCCCCGCTTTGAGCCCATTATCAACAAGCGGCATCATATCCGGCGTCCGCCACGCCCCATCCCACGTCGTCTTGACCTCCTCCACCCCCGTATCCCTCAACACCACCCATTCCGGTCCTACACACCTTGTCCCATGCCACTTGATCTCTGTCTGCCCTGCACCCGTCATGGAGTTTGATGGTGTATGGTCTCTTGCCAGACTCGCGCGGGAAGAAGATGTTCCTGTGGGCTCGTCAGAGTCTGAGAGAATGTCAGAGACGGGTGTGGGCGGGCCGGTATAATCGACTTCTTCCCCGTCATTATACCCATCATCAGAGCTTTGTTCGAATGTCCAATCATCTGCGTAACTTTGCTTTCGTTTAGCCGAGAGTCGCTCGACCAGGCTCGTTTCGGGTGTTGGCGCAGGGGACGGTGGAGCATAGGCATGGAAACGGGGAGGTTCTTGGAGCGATATGGGTGCGTAAGGGTGTGGTATAAGGGGATGTAGTTGTGGGGGTTTGGTCTTGGGAGGTATCGTCATAGGCGTTGGCGGGAGGGGAGGCGGTGAAGGGGATGAGGGTTCAGGTTTGGTTTCGTCCTCTGCAGCTTCTTCCTTGGGTTCGGGTGCAGGCGCAGGCGCATCAACAGGAAGACCGAATCCTGCCAGAAGATCGTCCACATCCATCTCCCCCTCTGCCACGTTCACAGGCGGAGCCTCTGGAATCAAAGACGCTGAATCTATATCCACGCCCATGCCCCCAAAATCGCCAAATCCAGGCGAATCAAAGAATGCGAAATCATCCTCCGTCACCAGGCCCACTTCATCCCTCCTATCCGGCTCGCGCTCTTCCACCGTTTCCCGCGTTCTCGTGGCAGGAGGCGGGGTGGGGTCCCGGATATGCACTAGAGAGTCTCCAAAGTCCATCGCGTCTGTTTCTGGTTCTGGTTGTACAGGAGCCACAGCGAGGGGAGGCTGATACGGCTCGATAGGCTGGCGTACGGGAGAAGACGAGGGCGAGTCAAAGAGGTCATCAAACTCTGAATCTTCTTCCACTATACTCTGTCTCCTACTCGTAGGCCGCGTCGGTGGTTTATCGACGTCGATAGTCTCTTCATCCTCGTCCTCGGCAGGGTCAGGATCTTCTGCCTGCGTCCCGCCGTCGGCTCTGGGGCTGGGCTCGCGATAAGACGAGAAGAATTCAAAGAGGTCGTGCGCAGTACCCATCATGTCGAAAGACTCTGGTTTGGGTGGGTGGATGATGGGTTCGGATGGTTCTGGTTCTTGGACCCGTTTGATAGGGGCGGCAAGATGGCCGGGCCAGACGGTCAAAACACCCTCGCCTTCTTGGCGGAGCGGGACCCAGTACACGGCCCATTCGTGCGTATCTTTCTGCCCCATAACGAGTTCCCGCGTTAAGAGAGATTTTCTGCCCTTCTTCCAGTCCCTACCAATCAGTGCGTCGAACGCGGCTTCGAGGCGGATGGTTTGTGGTAGGGCAAGTTTGAGCGGGGAGAGGAATGTGGTTGGGAGTGATAGAGGGAGGAGGTGGTGTGTGCATGTTGTCGGTGGGGCGGGGGAGCAGGGTGAGGTGATGGTGAGTAATAGACTGGTCGAAGAGAGGGGATAGACATGCGGCCTCCAACGCGATTCGATACTATGCCCCATCAGCTCAACCCGAACAGATATAAGCAGAACTCACGGTACGACCCCACTAGCTCTGAATAGAGCCCGCCCGCCCTTCTTCCATGCAAAAGTCTCGATAATGGCGTTGGCGAGCATGTCGCACATCTTGAGCGATTCGGAAGTCTGCTTGAGAGAGATCAGGCAGGTGTTATAGGAGAGGCATTCGAATGGGTTTGGGTGGGAGGGGCATGCGAGGAGAGTTTGGGGTGTAAGTGTTTGAATTGGAAGTTCTGCATGGGGTCAGCAACAGTAATGCACGTTCTGCAAGTCGACTCACCTTCAAAGGCTTCAGGCAGGTCAATGTCGACTTTGGAACACGAGAACAGCCAAACCTCCCTATTCGCATCCACCGCCCCAACGCCAGAATCCAGCATGCTCCCCACCTCCGCACTCGCTCTTTCTGCCAACGTCCGCCAGAGGATCTCGCTCAAATCACCTTCACCCCCAGACGTATCCCCGGGAAGGAAAGGGGTGAAGCGGCGGACGGAGATAGCAGGGGTGGAGAGTTGGAGGATGTATGTGCCCGAGAGGGGCGTGGAGGGGGAGGAGGAGAGGAGGTCGGGCATGTTAGTGCTGACTTGCTGAGGGATGGTCAAGTGCCACATGTACAGGCGGAGAGCCGAATGGTGCGGTGCCTGACCTCCACTCTGCGGCACTCTTCTCTTTCATTGGGGGTTGGTACATCCTGGCATGGCGTTGCTGGCTTGAGAGCAATGATCATGGAGGGGCTGATACTCGCGTGCATAGACGATATGAAATCAGGGGCGGTCTAAGTGGATGTTTGACATCTCCCAGTGTTTCCCATACTTGTCTCCGACTTGATGAATCAATCGCCCTCTCCCCACTAAACCATCTCCCATGCCGTTCCCGTATCCTCAAATAGAACACCATACCAAACACACCCATGCGTAAACAAACTGAACGCAAACAAAGCACACCATCAAGCTATCGTACTTATCAAGCTATCGCCCCCATCTAACGCGCCGATTATGATTCCAGCGAAAAGCTTATCTCGAGCTTTTAACGCATTCAGATGAAAAGCCAAAACAAGCTAACAAACGGCGCGACGCGTTCCCGTTCCCGGACTACGTACCTAATCTACCTTGATTGAAAACCTCAGCCTTCTCCTCGTCCCTCATTCCCTCGACCTCCCATAAGCGTTCCCATGCATCCCATGCATCCCATAGTGAGCTCACTGGTATATGGTGGGTCCTTCTTGATATGCTCCATATGTAGAGTTGGGCTAGGCAATCGTTGGAGAATCGAGCTGCAGTGTGCGATGGCTTGCGAGAGAATCCAGGCAGACTTGCAAACAGCGACATATGACATGGATCTTATCGGCCTCGGCATCCTCCAGGGCAACGCCGCTGCATACACACCCCCCCTCGGTGTCTGCTCGCTCCGGGTCGCTGTTCACTGTTCTCTGTCCACCGACGTCGGACACAGCTCGTAGCGTAGAGACAACCTCTCCTATCTGGATGCAGATCTCGTCCCGGCGTGGCACCGCAACTCGCATGCTGACGCGATGCATGGCGACGACGCGTAAAGAAGGTTAACGGGCCACGTGGGATCCCTGACTGCAGCAACACATCTCCCAGGCATTTCAGGGCGCTCAGGGCTCCTGCCAATCTTGGTGCTCCTTCTTCCGCCGCCCACTTTGCGCCTGCCCGCCCTCCTTTCCTTTCCTTTCCATTCCTGCTTTTCGCACTCGTCTCTCCACCTCTCAACTCCGGTGACCCCCGCCGCCCTCCGCCCGCCTCCGCTCTCCCCTCTACGCACGAGCCCCCACCTGCGGGGTCGCCCTCGCCCATCTCTCCCGCCCGTCTTGCACGAATCCCCGACTGTAGCATCATCACGACTCCACCATGCCCTCCACAACAACCCTCCTCGCCCTCCTCGCCACCTCCCTCTCCGTCTGCGCAAAGACGTACAATGCCACCCTCGATCCCTGGAATATCAACAAGAACCAGGGTGCGTCCTCTCCACCCCGTCCAACGCGTGTTGCCAGCAGCCAGCCAGCCAGCCCGCACGTTGAACGGAGCTGACAGATCATCGCCTTGCAGATGCCACCGACGTGATGGACTACACGACCACGCGGTCAAACACGACCTACACGCCTTCACCAGAAAACTGGCGGGTGAGTCACGTCCCGCCCCCCCCCCCCCCGCCCTGCCCTAGTCTTCCCCCCAAACAAAGACCTGACATGTCCAATAGACACTACCATGTTATACCCTTCTGCTCGACAAGTGGGCAGACGGGGATCCCTCCAACAATGACTTTTTCGGCATGAAGTACGAGTACGACATGCACGAGACCCAGTTGCGCGCGGGAGGTGACGCCAAGGGTCTGATGTCGGACAGGAGTCTCGATTATCTACATAGTATTGGTTATCGGTCGATTTACATTGCTGGTACAAACTTTTTGAACATGCCCTGGCAATCAGACGGTGGGTCGTCAGTTTATGTGTGCTCGAATACAACTAACGCGAAGGATTAGGTTACTCTGCTATCGATTTCACCCTTCTGGACCCGCACTACGGTACCTTGCAAGACTGGATAGACTTGATCGACCGGATCCACGCCAAGGACATGTATATCATTCTGGATTTCACTGTCGGTACGATGGGTGACTTGATCGGTTTCGAAAAGTGAGCCCCCTCCCCTTTTTCTATTTCCCGCACTGACCCCCCGCAAGCTACTTGAATGTTTCCACCCCGTTCTCCCTCGATGAGCACCATGCCGAGTGGAAGCTGCCAGACTATGCTCCATGGGGATTCCAGCATTATCCCGATTTCAACTTTACAAACACTTATAACGACTCGTGTACCTACCCCACCTTCTGGCTGGACGACGGTACCATCTACAACCCAGGCAAGACGGGATGTTATGGAAGTGACTTTGATCAGTATGGAGATATCGAGGCTTTCGGTGTTTTGTACGTCATTTTTTGTGTGCTTTTAGAGTCACGCTTACACCTCGCAGCCCCGATTGGGAACGTCAGTTGGCCAAGTTTGCCTCTGTGCAAGATCGTCTCCGAGAATGGCGTCCCCAGACCGCTGCCAAGATCAAGCAGTTCTCCTGCCTCACCATCCAAGCCCTCGACGTCGACGGTATCCGTATCGACAAGGCTACGCAGGTGACTGTCGACTTTATGGCCGATTGGGCCAACCATACCCGAGCTTGTGCGGTCGAATACGGCAAAGACAACTTTTTCATTCCTGGAGAAATCACTGGTGGTGACACTTTTGGTGCCCTGTACATCGGTCGAGGTCGTACCCCCACTCTCCGTCCCTCCGACAAGGCTACCGCGATCAACCTGACTCAGGATGCTGAGGGTTACTTTTTGCGTGACGAGGGTATCGCCGGTCTCGACTCTGCCGCCTTCCACTACTCGATCTATCGATCTCTCTGTCGATTCCTCGGTATGGACGGTAACCTCCAGGTAGCCTACGATGTCGACACCAACTTTGTCACTGCTTGGAACGAGATGGCCGTCAATGACGAGCTTCTCAATTCGCAGACCAACATGTTTGACCCGCGACACATGTACGGGACGGGTAACCAGGATGTCTTCCGATGGCCTGGTTTGACGAACGGTACCGAGAGGCAGCAGTTGGGGCAGTTTATCAACAACTTGGTGATGCCCGGTATTCCTCTCGGTTGGTACGGTGAAGAGCAGGCCTTCTACTTGCTCGACAACTCTGCCAACAACTATCTCTATGGCCGTCAAGCGATGGTCTCTTCCCAAGCTTGGAAGCGTCACGGTTGTTACCGAATGGGTTCCAGTCAGTACTACAACATGCCTTACGACAAAGTCTTGACTGGTTGTGACGACCCTTGGAACGCGTTGGATCACTTTGATCCTACCGCCGAGCCTTTGAGGTCTATCCGAAACATGCTCTACCTCCGTACCCAATTCCCCTCTCTCCAAGACGGTTTCGACCTCGTCACCCTTGGTAACTGGACACACTTTATCCAGCTCCCTGGTTCCAACGGGACTGACACCGAGCTGGGTCTTTGGTCTACCAAGCGTCTTCCCGTCTCTGCTCAGGAGGGTACAGCCCCCTTTGAGCGCAACGGGACCATCTCCCAGGTCGTGTGGCTTCTCTACACGAACGAGAATGACACTGTCACGTACGACTATGACTGCGGGGGCGACGACTGGATGTCTTCGCCTTACCAGGCCAACATCACTGTCCGAAACTTGTTCTACCCCTACGAGAGCTATACGCTTCAAAATTCGTCCGATTCATTCTACGACAACGACCTCGCTCCTTACACGGGTTGTTTGAATAACGTGACGATGGACCCGTTCATGTACAAGGCGCTCGTTCCCCAAGACCAATGGGTTCCTCAGCCTCCTACCATGACCAAGTTTACCCCCGGTCACGACTTCCGATACACCACCACTGGCGGTACGAATGATATCCCCATCACGATCGAGTACGATGTCGATATGGACTGTGACAGTGTCACCAACGCCATGACGCTCAACTATACTACCGACTCTGGCTCGCCGAGCTTGGAAAACACCAACTGTATCAGTATCGATCAAGCGGACTGGGAGGCGCCTTCTATTCCCTCTGTGGCGCCTGGCCGATGGAGGTGGGAGGGTACTTTGAGGGATGCGACGGATGGTGTGTATGAGATTGTCATTGCGAGTGTGGACTCGCAGACGCCTGGTGTTTCTACCAACTCTGTCAACCATCTTCTCTTGAGGGTCGGTCAGGTCAACAACCCCATCGTCTTCCCCGACAATGACTATGCCGATGGTATCCTCTCTGTCAGCGACGGTACCTATACTCTTACCAACACTGCCCCGGGTGCCACCAGCTTCCGATACAGCGGTGACTTTGGACAGACTTGGGCGCCTTGGCAGGACTATGAGACTACCGTCACCCTCAACTCTACCTACTTTGAGGACGACACTCATTGGTGGGACGGCCAGCACGTCAACGTGCAGTACCATAGTGCTCTTGCCATCTCGTCCAACCATGAAGTCCACGCCGACGCTAATTGGTCTGGAGGTGAGAGGCGATGGCCCCAGATCTTGGCGCGAGGTTCTTTCAACAACTGGGGTTATGACCTCGGTGCTTCGGCTTCGTTCGCGTTGACCGGTAACGGTACTTGGGAGTTTGACATGTCTGCTGCCTGGCCGGCGTTCATCCAGCTCAACATCTGGGCATACGACGATTACTTTTATGGTGATGTCGACTCGGATGGTATCATTGACCGATTCCCTCCCAACTCTCAGACTGCCAACTATCTCAACATGTCTATTCCTCCTACGCCTCATCTTGCGTGGAACATCAAGGTCGACGATGCCACTCACGAGTGGAGCGTTGAACCTATTGGTCACCAGACTACTACGGCTGTCGCCTTTGCGCTCTTCCTCGTCATCCCTGCACTGACCGCTCTTGCGGCCGCGGCCATCTTCCGATACTCTTTCTACTCTATCAAGGTCAACAGGTGGGGTCTCAAACCCTCCAAGGCGGCCAAGGAGACCTCCTACTTCCCCATTGTGGGCGGCCATGGTGAAAAGAAGGGTGATGTGAACGAGAAGGGTGGTGTCATGGCTTTGACGGAGAAGAGCAGTAAGGGCCCTGCCAAGCTCATTGGCTGGCCCGAAGACCCCAACAAGCGTAGAAAGGTCATGATTGCTACTCTCGAGTACGAGATCATCGATTGGAAGCTAAAGGTCAAGATTGGTGGTTTGGGTGTCATGTCTTCCCTGATGGGTAAGGCTATGACGGATGTCGACTTGTTCTGGGTCGTGCCCAAGGTTCAGGATATCGAGTACCCCCAGGGTGACTATGCCGAGCCTATCGAGGTCATCATCTTTGGCGAGCCGTACTTGATCGAGGTCGAGACCCACAAGCTAGACAACATTACCTACATCATCCTCGACTCTCCCGTCTTCCGAGCTCAGACCAAGGCCGACCCCTACCCTCAGCGAATGGACGACTTGTCGTCTGCCATCTTCTACTCTACTTGGAACCAGGCTATTGCCGAGGCCATTAGGCGAAACCCCATCATCGACATTTACCACATCAACGACTACCACGGTGCTCTTGCTCCTCTCTACCTCTTGCCTCAGGTCATTCCTACGTGTTTGTCTTTGCACAATGCCGAGTTCCAGGGTCTTTGGCCTTTGAGAACCAAGGACGAAATGAAGGAAGTCTGCGCTGCTTTCAACATCCCCAAGGAGATTTGTAGCAAGTACGTGCAGTTTGGTAACACTTTCAACTTGCTTCACGCCGGTGCTTCCTTCATCTCGCACCACCAAAAGTCTATTGGTGTTGCTGGTGTGTCCGACAAGTACGGCAAGAGGTCTTGGGCTCGTTACCCTGCCCTCTGGACTTTGCGAAACATTGACTCTCTTCCCAACCCCGATCCTACCGATATCGCCGCCCTCGACGAGCAGCCTATTGCCGTCGACAAGATTACCGTCGACACAGACGCCGAGTCCAAGCGACCCGAAGACAAGCGATTGGCGCAAGAATGGGCTGGTATCAAGCAAGACCCCAACGCAGACTTGTTTGTCTTTGTCGGTCGTTGGTCCAAGCAGAAGGGTGTCGATCTTATCGCCGATGTCATGCCCAGCTTGCTCGACAAGAAGCCTCAGATTCAACTCATCTGTGTTGGTCCCGTCATTGATCTTTACGGGCGATTTGCTGCCGAAAAGCTTGCGAGGTTGATGGAGATGTACCCGGACAGAGTCTTCTCCAAGCCCGAGTTTACTTCTCTTCCTCCCTACTTGTTCAGTGGTGCCGACTTTGCTCTTATTCCGTCTCGAGACGAGCCTTTCGGTTTGGTCGCTGTCGAATTCGGTAGAAAGGGTGCTTTGGGTGTTGGTGCTCGTCTTGGTGGTCTTGGTTTGATGCCTGGTTGGGTAAGTTTTTTTTCTGGCCGTTCAGGAACATGACTGACATACTCTACAGTGGTTCCCCGTCGAGTCTAGTGCTACCGTGCACATGCTCTCTCAGTTGACAAAGACTATCAAGTTGGCCTTGAAATCTACTCAGGACGAGCGTGCCATCCTCCGAGCTCGATCTGCCGTTCAGCGTTTCCCCGTCGTCGAATGGCGTCAGCGTCTCGAAGACTTCCAACGTCGATCCATCGTCGCTTCGCGAGGTGGCGCTGGCGAGCAAGCTTGGGGTTGGGACCAGGTTGACGTCGACCAGAACGCGGAAGGCTTCTACGCCAATGGCGACAACGACTCTAGTACTTCTATGGCGCGAGGCGAGTGGGCGAGGTCTGACACTCCCGACTCTACTGCTCCCAACTCGCCCATGCCCGGACAGTCTCCTCTTGGCCAAGAAGGCCAGACCTACTACTTTGACCCCAACGCTCCCATGGCCTCTTCCAACAACACTCTTGGTGCCGACTACCACAAACGCTTTGACAAGAATGCCAACCGACAATCTGCCGAGTCTTTCTATGACGAAGACCCCAACGCTTCTCCTCTCTACTACAACGGTGACAAGAGAAAGTCTCAGGGCAAGCCCAAGTTCTTTGGTTACGATGAGGAGGATGCGCCTTCGTCTATTGGTTCTTCTGATCACGGTGACAGCACTGTTGTTGGTTCTGCTGGCGGCAACCGGGACTCTACTGTGGCTCAATCTTACGACAATTTCCTTGCTGCTGCCAACCGTCAATTCGCAAAGAACACTGGCGGCAAGAATGCTCCTGATCCCTACTTTGACAGACGTGCTTCCGTTGCCTCTGCTGCTTCTGGTGACTCCAACTTTGCCCCTACTCGACCGTTCACTGCCCACTCCCGGGTTTCGTCTTTCGACTCTATCTCTTCTATTGTGGACGAGAAGAACGCGTCGCCGCTGAACAAGGCCATGGACACCTTTACCGATTCAGATGGTGAAGTTGCTCAGAGCTTTGTGCAAAAGTTGAGAGACTTGAACTCTGGCAACTCCAAGGGTGACTTGTGTATCGAAAAGTTCTTGATTAAGAGCGAAAAGGCCTTCTTCGATGAAGTTAAGAAGGACAAGATTGCCAGTGAGTATTCTCGTCGTTTGTGTGGAGCATTGCTAATGTCTCCTAGGTATGAGTATTCGATCTCGTGATTCATTCATCCAGTCTCGTGCTCCTAGCATGATTGAAGGCTTCCGTCCCGAATGTAAGTACTTCTTTGTATCACATCAGTCTTGACATTTACCTAACGAGCAGTCCCGCACCGGGACTCTGATACTTCAGCTCCCATGTCTCATTCCGGTCACAGTCAAGAAGATCGAGCAAGCCATTACGGCGGCGTACCCGGCAGCGCTGGGCATGAGATGTACGAAGAGGGTCACCCGCCTGAGGCTCATATGACTCGACTGCAAATCTTTGTCGGTCGACAGATCGCGGGATGGCCCCTATACTCTATCATCATCTCTCTCGGTCAATTGCTGTCTGCTGTGAGTCGTCTCACTGAGAAAGAAGTGTATATACTGATCAAATCATACAGACATCCTTCCAATTGAGTTTGCTCGGTGGTTCCAACACGCAAACGGAGACGGATCTCTACATCATCTGTGCCATCTTTGCCGTTGCCACTGTCGCTTGGTACACTCTTTTCAGGATGAAGCCCTCCGTCTTCTGTCTGAGTCTTCCTTGGGCCATGTAAGTTTGATCTACTTCAACGTCGGATGAAACTGATTGTATTCTAGCTTTGCTATCGCCTTCTTGCTCATCGGTTTCCCTTCGATCCACGGAGTCTTCCTCGCGCCTCGAAAGACCATTACTCGAGTCGCCACTTACCTCTACGCCATTGCCTCTTCCGCTGGTTTCCTCTTCTTCGGTCTCAACTTTGGTGAAGAAGCTGGTGCCGCCACAGAGGTTTGGGTTCTCCGTGCTTGTATCGTGCAAGGTCTCCAGCAGATCTGGGTTTCGGCGCTTTGGTACTGGGGTTACACCCTTACCGGGCAAGACCCCACAAACTACGTGCCCTCTCGAGTCATCATCTACATCACTTGGCCCCTTGCCGCCATCTCTGCGGTCTTTGCCTACTGCATGTGGTTCGGTTTGCCCGAATACTACCGACAGATCCCGCCTTACGTCCCCAACTTTTACAAAACTCTGTTGCGAAGGAAGTTGGTCATTTGGTTCTTGATCGCGGAGATTCTCAGAGATTACTGGTTGTCTGGACCTTAGTGAGTAGAGTCTCTCGTGCAACAAGACCTCAGCTAACCTTTTCTCTAGCGGTCGAAACTGGCAATATCTCTGGGCTCAAGCGGACATTCCCAAGTGGGCCGTGGTCGTCATGATCATCATCTTCTTCATCGGTATCTGGGGTCTCCTTCTCGGTATCCTCATCAAATACTCGACGATTCACTCCTGGCTGTTGCCCGTGTTCGCTATCGGTCTCGTTGCCCCCAGATGGTGTCAGATGTGGTGGGGTACCTCCGGCATGGGTCTTTACATCCCTTGGGGTGGAGACGCCGGTCCCTACATTGGTGTCGGTCTGTGGCTCTGGCTTGGTGTGCTCGACGCTATTCAGGGTGTCGGGTTGGGTATGATTCTTTTGCAGACTCTGTCCAGATTGCACGTCTGTGCTACCCTGGCTGGCGCTCAGTTCCTCGGTTCTTGCATTGTCATGCTTGCTCGGTGAGTCAATTCTTTCATAATCTTAGGCACTCACTGACTCTTCATAGTGGTACCGCGCCTGATAAGGTCGGCCCCGGAAAGGTCTTCCCCAACATCGCTATCTGGGATGTCACGGGAACCGGCAATAACATGCCCTTGGCGCATTACGAATTCTGGCTCTGTCTTGTCTGCCAGATCATAATCGTCATCGGCTACGCCTTCTTCTTCAGACGAGAGCAGTTGAGTAAGCCTTAAGCGGGCTTTGGAAGATTGTATACTGGGGAAAGAGAGAAAGGGGTGTATTCTAGAGTCAATGAAGAGGTGAGATTTAGAGGGTGACGGTCGGGTTCTGGTTTCTTTTTGCATTCATTTCTTTTTTGCTACTGTTAAGAGAGAGAGAGAGAGAGAGAGTTATGCTGGTGTGGCGATTATATCACGAAACCAGCGCTATTCGTTCCCGATACGTTCTATGGACAATGAACTTGTGACGTACAGTACCTTCTTCTATACATTTCAGACTATGAATCATTATGCATTTTAAAACACAGAGATATTCAAAGATCGACAGGGGTCTCATAAGAATCGCCCAAGCGTTGTGAGAATAGATGGACGCTTCCTATTCCCGAAGGCGCGAAGCGTGTCTACAGGGAACGGCACGGAGCCTTCTGGATTGTTCTCCTCTTGCAAAACGTCGAGCATCATGCTGGAGAGATCAATGAGTTCGGCGGGAAGGATGACTGATTCCCTATAGGTGTTGGTAATAGCATCAGAGACAAAACTTTGAACTTGTTCCCATCCTTTGTCGTTGTTCTCTTCCAGCTCCGCCAGGTTAGGTTGAATGTCAGTTCTGAATTGCGACTGCTGTAGCCCTAGGGTAGACGCCATGTCTACAGCTATCGTTTGGGCTTTGTTCAACAACTCTTGATCGTCAAGTAGAGAGCACTCGGCACATGTGCTCCTGTGTGGTTCGCTAAAGGCCTGCCGACCTAGCTCCGTACGGGCCTCATCTTTGGTGGTTGTAGACTCTGGCATAATGGCGACTAAGGATGATGTACGCCCAGCTTTGAGCCAGCTGTGAGCTCTCGTGATGTAGGCGAAATAGTGCTCGCTGTTCAACATGAGGGACATGACAGGTGTGCAACCCTCGCGAGTTATCGCAAACTCATAGGGGTTGCTGGATCCACCCGCCCCTCGAGAAGGTGATTCTGAGGCAACCTGAAGCGATAGAGCGTCGGCGATGTGGCTGGCGGTGAATGATACGGCGTGCAAATATGCTTGTGCCTCTTGGATTAATGAGCATTCACTGCAACCGGTGAAGTCGACCGTAACCGTGTCGGGCTTCGGGATGATTGTGAAATCCTTTTGGTTTGATAGTGCTCCCGCTGACATTGTGAGCTTGAGAGGGATAATAAGATAGCAGAGTCGAAGATGTCCAGAAACAATCTCCATCCAGGATGGATCAACAAAATCTTGAATCGGGATAGAATTGATCTACCATTCTACTCTCCTCATGGCTACAGTACAAAGATCTCTCCTAAACAGCTGAACACACACAAGAATGCTCTTCTATTGTGAAGTAGTTGCTTTACCCTTCATGATACGAGTCGGAGCCTGTATAGCATGATTAGGGAATGCGTAACTTCCTTTCACAGATATAACGACTCACATTCGGTCATTCCATGCACTGAAGGGGGGCGTAATTGGCGAAATATAAGCAAGAACAGAAGGGAAAGGAAGCTCACTATCAGCGAATTGCTCGGTGCGCGGGCCTGGACGGAAGGTGTCGTCGAGTGTCGTGAGGAAGAGCTTGTGGGGCGACGTTGGGCGATAAGCACGCGTCCTGGGAAAGGCAGCGAAAGTTGTGGCAAGTATACTGGTGGTAATGAGCTGAGAAGGCGATGAAGGAGAGATGGATGAGTGTCCGAGCGTAGAGATAGATCAGTTCATTGACGCAGAGCAACTAAAGGCGGCATACTCAACTGCTTTCCGAGTACTTGCTTCGGCGGTGGCCCGAGCACGCGGTGTTTGGACTTGACCATTTGAGATGTCGCCAGAGCCTACAACAAGACCACGGCGGCTATGGCAATGATCACAGATATGTCAAAACAATCCCAGACTGGGATCATTCAGTGACAGACAGATCAAAATGATCTTGAACTAAGATCACCAACCGGGCACCCAAATCTCGCCTCGATCAATAGCATCCCAGTCCGAGGTAGAAATAATCGAGCTAGATAGAAATGATCTTTGGCTGGATGAATACAACCCTGCGTTAAGATGAAAGTAATCGAGAAAGATCAAAATAATCTCGCGCGAGCCCCACAGTGTAGGTCTCTACGCTCGAAAGCCCGGCCACAGCTCCTTCTGCTCACAGCTTGTACTCCTTCAGCTTCTTCTCCCCCACCTGCTCCAAGATATTCCAAGTGCCCAAAACATCCTCCACCTTCGTATGCACCCCACCAATAGCAAACCTCACACAATGCACAAGGCTGCCCTCTTTGCTCTTCAAAGCGGTCTGCGTCAAGAAGATATCGTTTCTGTGATCGAGCTCGGTGTAAAATGCTCGGTTTAGCTTGTTGAGGGTGACTTCGGTCAAAGTCTGGGAAGGAGTGGCAGGGACGAGGCGGAAAGTGAGGAGACCGAGCTGAGGTTGGGTGACGAGCTCGAAATTGGGCGAGGCGCGGATAGCTTCAGCGAGCGCTTGACAATGCGAGATACTCTACCCCCACTCATCAGTATCCCACTCTTTGTCTGGCAGAGGGACGTACACGTCGAAGATGCGCCTGGAACCCTTCCACACCATAACTCCTGAGCACAAACCACATTTTCAGGCTTCGGAATCGTCTACCGAGGGCGATCTGCCAGTTCCGATAGTCGACCACTTCGCCTGCGTCTGCTTCTTTGCTCCTCAAGAAAATCTGTGAGATTCGTCAGCTTGGATTTTGGTGGCGAAATGGGGTGATGGGGTCGTACGGGTGTGACGTCGAATGTCTGGGTGAGGTCATGCCTGTCTCTCACATAGAGGAGAGCTACGCGAGATTGTCAAATTTCACCTCGGGATGAAGAAAGTCGGCAATACTTACTGCAGTCAAAGGTGACGAGACCCCACTTGTGCATATTAGTAGCGAAAGAGCCAGCGTGCTCGTTCACCTCATCCAAACGAAGCTGAGCACGGTGCTCCGGCAACGCATAAGCTACGCCGGCCCACTGAGAGACGTCAGAAAAGGCTTTAATGAGCAGAGGAGGAAGGGACGCACGGCCGCGTCGACATGCAAGAACATGGTAGGGTTCTCTTTCACTGTGTCGCAAATCAGTATCGTGATATCGTCCAGGATGGATGCACTCACAGACCTGGCCGATCTCGGCGATTCTGTCTACCGCGCCTGAAGATGTCGTACCAACAGTACCGACTATGTGGACTCAGCTTCGTATCAAAGCTGAGGATGTATGAACATACCGACAAAGAAAGGGACCAGTCCAGCCTTCTTATCCTCCTCCACCGCCTCTCTCAGAGCATCACCTCTGAGCGCAAAGTCATCTTCGGCAGAGACCGGGACAGCCCTAAAAGTCAATCCTAGCAAGATCGCCGCCTATCTCCGTATCAGCCCCATGAATAGACTGATCTCGGGTTAGAAAAGTACCTTAGCACCAAGACTATGAGTCTGGGTACTGCCGTACATGACGAGCTTCTGCCCATACTTTTGCCTGACCTCGTCGGGGACCACGATGTCCCCGTTCGCGCCTTGTTTGCCACCATGAGTCAGGTGACGCAAAGCGCGCTCACGAGCAGCCATCGCTGCTGTCAAGGCGGCTTCCGAGGCCGACCCCTGCTGGTTGTCAGAAGATGGAGACCTCGGGTAAAGTGATACGCACCTGTATGACACCGCCACCGATTTTGGAGCTGGAGAGGAAAACGGGCGAAAGGCCAAACATCTTGGCGGCCCAGTCGACTACGACCTGCTCCAGCTCTGTTGATGCGGGTGAGCATATCCACTTCATCACGTATCAGCTTATTGACATCGCTTGGAAAGACGATAAGGGCGAGACTGACATTGAAACCGGGGTTGCTCACGCTCGCAGCGTAGAGGTCGGCAATCATACTCTCAAATGTAGAGTTGGCAGGGAAGTAGGCATAGAAGTTGGGAGATTGCCAATGAGTGATACCTGTGCGTTAACTGGTAAGCTTCATGAGTCGTCTGGGCCAGAAGTCATACCTGGAAGGACATCGCTCTTAAAAGACGCGGCAATCTGGTCGAAAGGCTCGCCCTTGACTGGAGCTTCGTCTACCAACGTCAGGCAAGTAAGCCCATCATATTCTCATAGCTGATAGGCGAGATGACTTACCCGGCAGCTTGTCCAAGAGATACCCAGGCTTGACTTCGGACTTGACGGGAAGATCCTGGATGTTCTGATAGTAGTCACAGATGGCGTCAATGGCCGCATAACCTGCAAGCCTGGTTAGCGATGTTGCTGATATTGAAGGTCTTTGAGCTTCTGGACGCTTACCGGCCTTCCTGAATCTGCACAGATGATGGACTGTATCAGCACTAGGTTGATAGCAGCACGAAGAGAATGGCCTACTGTTCGATGTCCATGGTGGAGACGCTGTTGACGATGGCCTTGTACTATGAAGTGTACGAGCTCAAGCGAGCTGGGAGATGATAGACAAGAATCGACTACCTCTACGCTGAGCACATGGGTCTCTCCGGACTACTTACTACGCCGAATCGCCGGCGAGATGGAACCATAACAAGAGGTGCCTGGCGCTTCCCGCGCTTCCATCCATCTCGTCTTGTCCCGCCGGATTTCTTTTTTCACCAACAATACTGTACATTCGGCATGTCCAACCCTCTCTGTTCCACCCAAGTCGCTCTCCACCCCGACATACTCCCCCACATCCTCTCTTACCTTCCTCATGACGCCCTCTATCCCGCCCTTTTCGTCTCTTCAACTTTTCACCGCGCCGCCGAACCGCTGCCGTACGACACTTTCGTTTACAGCCCTCGAACCAGCCATGTGTACTCTGAGTCAGCAGCCACGGAACGTTCCTCAAAAAGACTCCGGTTCCTCCTGTCCAAGACCACAACCCTGGTGTACTCGCAAGCGCCACATCAACGTCGGTACCCCAGCGACTCCGAGAATAGTGTCCTCGCCATACATCCCCGGCTAAAGCATCCTGTCATTGCCCAGTGTGATCCCCAACACCGCCCATACCCTTCCCGGTGCTGTTTGTTGGACGACGTGCAGACTATCGCGACTAGCCTCTCTGTCCCTTTCACCTGCCTTTTCAGTGCCATGCGCCACGACGAGCTTTCTCTATGGGAAGACTTTGACTGGAGGGATGGTGATTGCGGCCATGGTCCTGACCATGGTGTCGATGTGGACGGGTCTGGAGAATATGGAGATGGTCTTGAGGACGATGAAGATGGGACTCAGGAGGATGAAGATGAGCTCGAGGAAGATGGAGACGTGCTAGGGGATGATCAAGTTGCTTCGGAGCAAGATGGGAATGTACGCAGCTGGTGTATGGCATGCAGCGTCTGCCGCCACCACCTAGCAGTCGACCTGCACGCATTTCCCGCGCTGAAAGCGCTCACTATCCGCGTGCCGTCAAAGCTGTATAGCCAGTTCTGCTCGTACCTCCTCAAAGACAACTGGCCGCCCACCTTAGAAGAGCTTCGTATAGTCTGGTACGACGAGACTATGGAAGAAGATGTTTCGCTGCCGTCTCAAAGTTTCAGTTCCACCTGCGGGCCATTGAGGAACCTTAGAGGCTCTATGCCAACAGGTTTACAACTACAATCGCTCATCGACACCGCGCGGATTCGAGAAGGCGCACCGCAGTCCTTCATGACCACGCTATCGGATATCATGTTGGCTCTAGCATCGTGTCAAACACTCAGGGAGATAAAAATGTTTGGCCTGGAACAGTCTCTTCTGGTGAGATCTCTTCTGTGGCTGGAGAACGTTAGTACGGGTGATTGTATATCGCTTGCGAGGAAGACACTTGTCGAATCACTTCTGTCCGATCGGCGAGCCACCCAATTGGATATCCTGCCGATAAACGACTTTCTTTCCCTCGACTCCAATGTCAGATACTTTGCGCCAGAGGAACGGAGAGGTTATGAGAAGGCGGAAAGGGTGTTGAAAACACCATATGTGGACGGAACAGAGACGACCTTGTTGGAGAGGGATGATAGGGTACCATCTTCACGGCAGAAGGAGTCGTTGGCCTGGTTATTGAGAAGGGATTTGGCGATTGGCAATGTTTAGTCCTGTATGGAGTGATGGTCCAACGTGAGTGTGTGATGTACTAGCCGAGTCAAGCTGACCGACGCCTGGTGTCTAGTCCATGCCGCATACCGGAGTGTCAGTGATTTGAAGGGCTCGAGCATCTTCAGGTTGGGACGAGTCAGGTGGTGTGGGCGTTTGTGTAGATCCAAGAGGTCGTGTGGGACGTAATTCATACCATGAAATGCTATAAAAGCAAGATATCTGTCCCCTGTCAGTATACATCTTCAGTGCCGCGTTTCCACTCACTGTCCGTGCTTTGTGTGATGCTTTATGCAGTTGCAATGCTTTTCTGTGTCGTCTATCGTCTATCATTCATCTGTAAAGGCATCAGCGCTGAGTATTGTCACCATCCGAAGAACTTACTCATCGTACTAATGCGATATCACCCGTCCTCTCTTGCCGCAGTCCTGCCCAGGGCCTAAGTCATATCAGCACGATCCCATATATCACAATCTCAGGCCAAAGAAGCTCACACTCTCAGTCTTCCTCCATGATCAACCCCTCAAAACAATCATCTCCAACCTCTCCCAACCCCCTATACACCATCTCCTCAGCCACCCTCTGATGCTGCCCCGTCTTGCTCAACACAGCCACCAACGCCCTATACGTCTGCCCCGTCGGTTTCGCCAACGACCCCAGCGAGCCAAAGTGGTCGAGATGTATACGAAGCCTTTCGATCTGACGACGATGTGCGAGCGATAAGATGATAGGCCTGTAGAGCTCTTCGTGCGCTTCGTGCAGCACCTCCCCTTTTTCGTTAGGGGTGATGATGCGTTCGTACACTGACATGCCCGCATCCGGCCCTGCTAGGTATACGCTCTCCCTTATGAGGGTCACGTAGGTGACCATATTGGGGCGGAGGGAAGGGGGGAGGGCAGGTATGGAGTCGAGGTATGATGAGATGGATAGGGGGACGCTTTCGAAATGCGCTTGGGGAAGGGTGCGGAAGAACGATCGGAAGAGTGTTGTGAGGAGAGGGAGGGTGGGGTAGGATCGCGGCGTTGCATCGGATTCTTTCGGCGCGAGGGGATGGGGCGGTAGCCCCACCCAGTAGTAGTGCTTCGCGAAATGCTCGATGGCTTGGTCATGCAGCCCTTCTTGTTGGAGGTTGATGATTTCTGCAAACACCCAAGCTCGTTTTCGGCCGGAAGGCGCTGATAGGAAACGCGATTGGAACCTCGCAAGGAGGTTGGGATGCGTCTGCGTGATGGGAGGGGAGGTCAAGCCAGCGAGGACTTGGGCGAGGTCGTTTGGCGTTGGGATATAGTCTCTGACGAGCATCTGCCGGATCTGCCTGGGCAAGTCTGGCGCCACGTCCACCTTTTTGGATACCCATTGCTGCTCCATGACACGTACTGTCCTCTGGTCCCACCGCACATCTGCAGGTGGAAACTCGTACAATTGCCACGCTTCTTCCTCCCACCCTGCCAGCATCAAGACTCGGAGATAGTGCCCCCATATCTTGTTGAGGTGCATGAGAGCGGTGCTTTTCTGGAAGAAGGCGCGAGAAGAGGTAGAGGTGGAAGAGGTGGTGTATTGGAGGTAGGCGGAGGTGATGCGGGAGACGAGGTCGAGGGATTCGGAAGCAGGGATGGTGAAGGCGAGGTGGACGAGGAGAGGGGGCAGTGTGACGGGGGTGAGACCCAGCTTGGCGGTATGCAAGAGGTAGCGCTCTATCAGAGCGCGGTCGTCCTTGACACCAAGCATCCAAAGAGTCATGGGTCTCCATATCTCTCTCAGCGGCCGCAAGTCTGCTGTTGCCGGTTTATTGGGGTAGAGACCCAGCCAGAGCATGAACCTGGCAGTATCACCAGCTCGAAGAGCATCCAGAGCTGGAAACAAGTAGATATGCCGACGTTGTATCATCTGATGGTGGCTCTGAAGCTCTTGCAGAATGGCCAAAGCCTCGTCGTACTGCTCCAGCCCGACTAGGCGGAATAGTGGGTCACAGATCTTGGGTTTTCTCGCTGACTGGACGCCGTGACGAGGCAGTAGCGTTGGCCAAGGGATAGGCTCTGGCGGGTCGATATCGGGCGAAAGATGCAGGGAGGCAGCCGAGTATTCCTGAGACTCGTCTTCGAGGAAAGACGCCGAGGACATGTGCCGAGGCGTCGCGATAGAGGAGGCTGAAATGGTCGTATCGGGCGTATCTCGGGCGAGGGCAGCGGTGGAGAAGGACTTGAAGTTGGAGGATGGGGCCCGTCTCCACAGCATCCTGAGGACGTAGAGAGCGGGGCTGGAGGAAGCCATCGCGATTTTTCAGACTGGGTAGCGTTTATAGAGGAAAACGGAAGAAAGAGATGATGCGCGCGGCCGGTGGAGGCAGATGCCGGGGCAGCAAAGACGGCTGTTTCGGTAACGTCGAAGGTGTGTTTGATCACCTCCAAGCATATACTCGCCATGGCCATGTCGCTGGGGGCTGCCCGCAGAGGCAAGCCAAAGATCGTGAGCACCCCTGAAGCGTCTTGCGGCCGTCGCTGACCCTCTCCACAGCGTCCGCCCAAGAAGGCGAGTAGACGATCGCCACGAGGGATGGGGAGCATGCTGACCCTGCTGCAGATCAGCCCGGAAGCCTCTATCGACGAGATATGGCGCAAGCTCTCGAACGGTATCCGGGAGATACAGAACCACAATGCCTCCAAGCTGTCATTCGAGGAGCACTATCGCTATGGCCACAACATGGTGCTCTTTAAACGTCCGTCCATCTTTTCCTGTTCTGTGCATCATGCTGATAGAAGGGTGCAGGCGGCGACCAGCTGTTCAAGGGCGTCAAAGAGCTCATAACAGAACACCTCAACCAACTCGCCCAAGAACGCATCGTGCCCACCTTCCCGCGTTCGGGAGGCACTCGCGGTGCCGGTAAACTGGGCGGTGGCGAGGGGGGCATCCATGGCGGTGGGGCGGAAGCTGTCGAGCGTGCGCTGGAGGGCGATAGATTCTTGAAAGCGCTCAAGGGCGTGTGGGAGGATCATATCGGGAGCATGCGCAAGCTCAAGGCTGTTCTGCAGTATATGGTAAGTTCGCTCATGACCGGGGACATGGCTGACATGGGGTAGGATCGAAACTACTCGACGGCCGCTGGGCAGCCACCCATCTACGAGGTCGGCCTCTCGCTCTTCCTCATCCACATCATCCGATCACCCCTTTTCCCCATCCACACCCACCTCATCTCCACACTCCTCTCCCAAGTCTCGCTCGAACGCGACGGCGAGTCCATCACCCGCTCCACTGTGCGAGAATGTACAGACATACTCCAACGCTTACATATCAGCGATAGAGAGATCAGGGAAAGGGGGATGCCGGATAAAGAGGCGACGGTGTATAGGGTCGACTTTGAGCCCGAATTCTTGAGGCGGAGTGGAGAGTTTTACGAGTATGAAGCAGGGGAGATGCTGGCTAGAGGCGATGCCGCAGCCTACTTACGAAACGTCGAACGACGCCTCAGAGAAGAATCCGACCGCACCCTGCACTATCTCTCCACCGACACCCACCCCGCCCTGCACGCCCTCCTCATCGACAACCTCCTCTCCTCCCACCTCTCGCCCATCCTGCAGATGCCCGGCTCCGGCCTCCAGTCTATGATCGAGCGGGACCGATACGACGATCTGAAGAGGCTGTATGATTTGTTCGTGAAAGTGCCAGAGGGGGCGGGGAAGGAAGAGTTGAGGCGGGCGTTGAGGTTTGATGTGGAGATGAGGGGGAAGGGGATCAATGCTGCTGCAGTTGACCCGGACGTCATCGCCACTCCGGCTTTGACTGTGAAGAGGGAAGATACGGATCAGCCTATGGCGTCTCCTTCGAAACCTGCGCCTGTCAAGCCAAAAACGACTCAGGCTGCTGCCCTTGCCTCGGCTCTGCGCTGGGTCCAGGACGTGCTGGAACTCAAAGACAAGTTTGATTTGATCTTGGAAAAGTCGTTTGCGGATGATAAACAAGTGCAGATGTCGATCAATGAGGCGTTCCAGAGTTTCATCAATGCCAATGCTAGAGCAGCCGAGTATCTGAGCTTGTTTATTGATGAAAACTTGAAGAAGGGTTCTAAAACTGTACGTCTCTGTCTCTCGAATTAAACACTGCTGACTTTTTTGTAGCGTACCGAAGACGAGATCGAACAAGCCAAATCCAAAACCCTCATCCTCTTCCGCTTCCTCACAGACAAGGACAAATTCGAGCGCTACTACAAAAACCACCTCGCCCGCCGTCTTCTTTACTCTCGCTCCGCCTCCGACGACGCCGAGCAAGAGATGGTCGGCAAGCTCAAAAAAGAGATGGGCTTCCAGTTCACCCACAAGCTAGAGGGGATGTTTACGGATATGAGGGTTAGTAAGGAGAGTGATGTGGCGTTTAAAAAGTATGAGGCTGCGCGGGATGTGGGGCTGGACCTGTCGGTGTCTGTCCTTACAGCATCGCATTGGCCTCAGCCCATAGTAGCGCCCACGCCGTGCACTTTTCCACCTGCCCTCAACCCAGCTATGGCGGCGTTCCAAAAGTACTACGACTCGCGCCATTCGGGCCGTAGGTTGACTTGGCAAGTCGCCTTGGGCACGGCGGATGTCAAGTGTAGATTTAGGAAAGGGGTGGTGGAGTTGAATGTGTCGACGCAGGCGTTGGTTGTGTTGTTGCAGTTTGAGAGATTGGCGAGTGGGGATATACTGTCTTATCCCGTGAGCCTTCCTCTCTTGATTGAACCCCAAAGCTGATGAAAAGTAGGATCTCCACAAACAAACTGGCCTCCCCGAAGGCGACCTCGTCCGCACACTTCAATCTCTCGCCTGCGGCAAGTACCGTGTGCTCACAAAACATCCCAAGGGCAAAGACGTCAACCCCAAAGACACATTCGAGTATAACGAGGGCTTTGTGAGCCCACTGGCGAGGATCAAGATTATGCAGGTAGCGGGCGCAGCGGGGGCAAAGGTGGAGAGTGGGAAAGAGAGGGAGGAGACGGAGGGGATGGTTGAAGAAGAGAGGAGGCATCAGATTGAAGTGAGTTTCTTTTCATCTTGGGGGACTAGAGCTGACATTAAGCAAGGCGTGTATAGTGCGGATTATGAAGGACCGCAAGAGGCTGGACCACAACGAGCTCATATCAGAGGTAGCGCACCAGCTCTCTGGCCGGTTCAGCGCAAGTGTGGGATCTATAAAGAAGCGCGTAGAAGGCCTGATTGACAGAGAGTATCTTGAGCGGATAGGCGAAGGACTCGGGGCGGGGTATCAATATCTAGCATAAGATATATTCTGTTCGTGTATTGTACTCTATGCATTGTGCTGTTAGACGTCGCCGAATAGCCCAAAGTCTTCTACTTTGAACGAATCGACTGCCTGGGCAAACCATCCTTCGACAAGATGTTGCTCCTTGGCCCCTTCTCCGCCCTCGGCACTCAGATTGACATTAACGCTCAACACCACATCCGCCTTCTTCCTCCCCGCCGCTCCCTCAATCCATACCCGCCACAGAGCAAGTCCAATCCATACCTGGTCCGGCACATCCGCCTCGTGCCCTTCCCTCGGTGCACCCGTGGGGTCATGGGAGAATTTATGGATCTGCTGTGTGCCTGCTAGTGTTGTAGCTTTGATCTGGGATGGGGTGGATGTTGAAGGGGTGCTGGGGATGGGGGAGGAGGGAGGGGGGGTGAGGATTGTGGATGAGAGGGAGGCGTTGTCGTGGGCTATAGATCCGAAATGGAATCTGCCCATATTTATCAGCCATCTACATCCCCTACTCTCACCTTGTACCCACTTGGCAGCTTCCCACAGATCATCCTTCGCACCACCCTCTTCCACGAGCTCGAGCACTTCCAGTACAAGGGCAGTATCGCTGTGGGGAAAGAGAAAGACTTCTTGGTTGTCTGGTATTTGGCGAAGGTCGCTGTTCGGGTGTCAGCTGGGGCAGGGGGATGGGAGAGGTGCGGACCTGGCGTCGATGGAGTCCTGGGGGAGGGCGAGGGCGATGGCGCCGCCGAAGAGGGGTCTGGGGGCGAGGGGGGCGGACATGGTGATGATATAGATGCAGATTCAAATTTCAGAATCCAAGATGTAGATGTTGTCAAAGAGTCGTGACGCGTCTTCTCTTTCTTCTTCTTCCATACATCCCACAATGGCCACCCAGCTCGCCCTCGACCTCAGACTCTGCACCCTCGAAGCCCAGCTATTCGGCACTCCCCCCTCCTCCCTTGCCCCCCCAGACCGCGCACCGCAGGACGGGGCGGCGACGCGTAGAGTCAGGGAGATCCACGAGAGACTCCAGAGGCTCGGGGAGAGTAGCGAAGGCGTCAAACGTCTGCTCGATGGCTGTAAGCAAAGTCTTATTGATGGGAATGAAGACTGATAAGGCTTAGACGAACAGTACTTGCCCCTCCTAACTATCCCTCACCCATCGACACCCACCATGACCGACCAAGCGTCCGACGAGTCACAGCCTATACAAGAATCCGATCTTTTGCCAGACAGTGTCAAACTCACGATGGTGCTCGCAGCAGCAGAGGATATAGTCGGGGCCGAGAGGGATTTGAGAGAATTGGAGGTTTTGAAGGGGAAAGGCGCTGAAGGCAGTGGACAGCTTGAAGGTGATACTTTTTGCATACTTCGACGAGTGGTACATGCTGACAAGGAGGCAGATCTTATACCGCAAAGGCCCGACTTGATTCGCGCGATGCAAGAATCAGAGAAAGAAGGCGAAGCGCTTGCCCAAGCTAGGAGTCAAGTAGGCGGTCTCCTCGTGCGGTATACCGACTTTGTACGTCCTTCCCCTTCCCCCAGGGTCTTTTGAGCTGATCTTTCGTAGACGTCGACGGTATCAGAACTCTTCATCGACCTGCACCACAAGATGGAAAATCTGGAGGAAGGCGTAGCAAGAGTCGAGAGGAAGCGCAGAAAAGAGCTCGCAGAGAGGTATTGAATCAGTTGCTTCCTTGTACATTACGCATAACGACTTTTATGAAGGGACATGACTAGACTAATGATCGTCTTCTTCTTCACCTGGGCATCCTCCGGGGCCTTCGAGTTCATCCCAAGAGCTGTACTTGTAGGCACACCAAAAGCAGAAGAGGTGCTCGTGCCGGAGCTGGTTGACTATGAAGGTCAAGTATTCGCCGGGCTATGCGCAGAGTCAGCTATAGTACAGCGAGGGGAGATGACGGAGGGACTGACCTCCATTGACAATACTCGCTTGGTCCCCGCGACATGCTCTTCCCAATCCACCCCTTCATAATCCTCCTTCTCCTCCACTTGCTCCCCTTTCTTCTTCTCCTCATCTTCCACTTGCTCCCTCTTCGGAGCAGTATCAGGCCCCACCCCAAATCTAACATCCTTCTCCTCATCATCTCCCACTTCAGCTCCATCAATATCGCTCAGCATATCCCGGCGCATCTGTTTCCTCAGCCGTTCGGCTTGAGACTTGTTTTCTTCTTTTCCATGGGCCACTCTATTCGGCAGTGGAGAGCCAGAGCGGGATGCGGAAGGGGAAGGGGAAGGGGAGAGAGCCGCCGGGTAGATGAGTTTGAGGATTGGGCGAGGCATCGTTCCCAGCGGGTCGAACGGCAAGACATGTAACGCATGAAACTATTCTCTCCTATCAGCATTCCGCCACCACTCTTGATCTGATACCCGCCTTGACCCCCTTCTCCTTATCATACCCCACAAGCAGATCCCTACATTTCCTCCCTTTCCTCTCTTTATCCCTCTCACCCCACTCATGCCCCTGCCGAGCCCTAAACCCATCCGCTTCCTTAGCCAACCTTTCCATCTGCTCTTTCCCCAGAGCATCGGGGTTCCGCCCGGATGGGTTGAGGGGTAATGGCGGTGGACTGGGTTCTCGAGCTGAGAGACCTTTGCGGCGGGCCCAGAGAGAGACTCGGATGGGCTCTGTGATGGGTTGGAGTTTAGGTGGAGGGGTGTCTTCGAGTTCGTCGCCGGGTTTGAATCGCTTCGCGCCTAAGCCTGCTCTTGCTGATGATGCATGAGAAGGAGGAGTCGGGGAGGGGGATCGTTTCTTGCCGAGTCCTTCACCGACTTTCCAGCCCATCTTCATCATCATCTCCATCGCCTTATTCCCCTTCTTCCCACCTTGGCTTTCGCTTTCACCCCCCTCGGCCTCATCCTCATCCTCCCTCTCGAACAAACTCCTCCCCATCCCTTCCCTCCGCCGAACTTCTTCCAAATCCCGCGCTTTCAGCTGATTCTTTGCTAGACCGGAGCGGTTCCCTGTTAACGCCGCTTTCTCTCTTCGTGCTGTGTATGTGTTGGAAGTGGATGAGGAGGAAGGGGGAGGGGGGAGGTTGAGGAGAAATTTGTCGGACATGAAGTCTTCTTCGGAGTCGGACATTGTGGGATGTGGATTGTTGTTTTGAAAATGAAATGGTATATGTACCGTATGTAGAGAAGCTCTTGAATAAATGGAGGGCTGAAGCACCGGCGCCCGACGGATGAGCGGCGTCGACCGCAACAACAACAAACAACTGACAAACAAACAACGACGGACAAGACGACAGAGGTCAAGTTTGTCAGTAGCTCAACTCTCGGAACATACTCGCGGATGGCTAGAAGAGGTATGTCAGTTGGCTTGATTGTATATGGTGAGTTTAGTCTTCTGTGAAACGAAGCGACAGGCTGAGACAGACTATCAGCTGTAGGCCGCATGTGACGGCAAGATCGTCTTGCCAATGTACAATGGTTGCCTATACATCCCTTGTATGTTGCTGAAATGTCTAGATTATAACTCCAATGTGGATCTCAACCCACACGAATGTGTAAACGGCAAATGACGTGATCAGCAATAAGATATCCCTTGGCGGATCCGAAAGAAACGAGAGAGTCGAGAGTTTACCGGTCCCGAACTGACCTGCAACTCACTCCTTATCTCTCATCGAGCTTATATACATCACTCACTGAAAGATACACCATCAACAATTAACCACTCAAAAAGAATGCCATCACAACAAGTACTGAATAAGTGGCTCTGGCTTTGCTGATCCCTAGTGATGTGCTCCTGTTGGACGAGCCTTCAGACTTTCTCGTACATCCACTTTACCACATTTCAACATATTGTTACAAAAGCTAACGTGAATACAGGACCTCGAATCGCATCGTCCTAGTATCCCATGACCGTTCTTTCCTCGACGCAGTCTCGGATGAGACCATGATCATCCGGCAGAACAAGCTGGAGTATTTCCCGCGTACGCCGACAGAGATGAAAGAGGCCGAGAGAAAGGAGAGGTCGGGAAAGGTCAGGCAGCAGGGGGCGTTGGATAAGAAGAAAGAGCATGTGCGTTAGTGCGGTGAAAATTGGGGTTGGGCTGATGTTCGCCACCCACTCTGTATGCTTTCGCGCGTCGGCGCCTTGTATCACTGCATGTCTTCTGCTTCCATACGTCAGTCACTAACGCCACTCTCTGCATATCATCTCCATATCTGGCCTCAAAACGATGCCCCAAACATCAAACCCACCGCTCGCTCTCGTTCCGCCGACAAGCCTTTCCGAGCGGAACAGGGCTACGATACCGCTATGATTGCGGAAGGACAACCCACGATATGCTGGTGGCTCTGCTGCATTTCCGCAGGAAAATTTGTGCATATATACCGGGGCACAATTGCTATCTCTCTTCTCAACCACAACCTCATCCCAGAAGATCCATACCACTCTGGGTTTTCGCCACACACCCAAACTCATCACCCGAACCACCAACCGAACCACCACCAAACCCACACCAGCCCAACCACAGCCTCCTGCCATGTCTATCCCGTCTAACTCTTCCTCCTCATCGATTTCGACTTTGTCATCGTCTTCATCTTCGTCTTCGTCTTCGATTTCTCTAAACCGGAATTTCTGCTGGCGGGGGCCCTACGCGCCGTGCCCGTCCTTCATGATCGAAGGGCTCCCTAAATCTTCTGAAGAGATGGAGGGTATTGAGTTTTACAGGCGGGTAATGCTGGCCGAGTATCAGGCTCGCCGGGACAAGAGGATGAAAGAAGAAGAGCGTCAGTCTTCTCCCTCGCATTTAGCCATACTACGGTACATCGCTGACAAGAGTCACAGTTCAAACCCGAGTCTCCCACAGGCCCAACGACCACATGCCCCGAGTCTGGCTCCACGGCCACGTCGTCTCCATGAACGTCGGCCAAGTCAACATCTTCATCGGCACCGGCAACGCCCTCAAGGGCGAGTCTCCCGATGTCATCCGCACCAAGGTCACCTCCACCGTCCGTGTCGCCCACTACGGAGAGATGGAGGCCTTCGAGAAGGCCCTTCTTTTGCAAGAGTACATGGAGACTCAGATGTCGAAGCTCACCTACGAGCTTCGAAAGGAAGCTCACGCCCAAGGCCTCATCATCTTCCCCTCACAGATGGTGTCATACCTCCGAGACGCTGCCACTCTCATATACCGCGAGCTCGAAGATTACGGTCTGACCTATGGCTTCAATCTCGTCATCTCCAGCAAAAAGTCTCAGTTTGACCGAGCTGTGAAGCAGGGTGGCTGCCAAGCTCGAGCAGACATGGAAGGGATTGACACGTTTGATGTTTACTATGTCTATCGACGTCTGATCAGCGACAAGGAGGTGCATGTGGGCTTGGCCGTCAATGCTGTCCTTCTTGACAGCCCTTGTTCGCCCAAGAGAAGGTTCCCCACCGCTCTCAAGCGAGGCCTTGCGGCAGTCTGCGCCCGCCGTCGCTTGGCTGTTCGTCCTGTGGCGTCTAGAAGGAAGAAGCAGGTGATATGATGGACAATTATTATTCGATACAGTTTGCTACATTCAGAACGGACAATTGACTCTCGATATGGTAGTCAGCCCGTGATATGTATATATGCAGTTCTGCAGGTTTCTGAACGGCTTCCTTCATGTTCATGATCGCTCAACATGGTGGCAAAGATGTGCATACGTAAACAGGCGGGATCAAAATTCTATGTCCTCTTTCTTTTTCCCCGAATTTCGACATCTGTTTACCTAGAGCCCTGCGTCCCACCTCAAACCAGAAATGTCCTCCAGAGCCTCTCTCAAGCTAGCCACCAGGGCCATCTACCAACAGAGGCGCTCTTTTGCCGCCACTTCCTTCGCCAGAAACGCCGCATTTGAGCCTGCCCTCGCCCCAGGCGTCTCTCCAGCGTACGATGCTGCCCTCGCCTTCATCTCCGCCCACCAATCCAAGACTCTTGCCAAGCTCGAGTCTTTCAAATCTCAATTTCCCTCCTCTCCCTCCCCCGAACAGCTTAAACAACTAGACAAGCTCGAGATTGAAGCCTACGCGAACGACCCCGCCGTCAGACGGACGTTCAAGGAGAGCAATGGGGAAGGCGCGATGGACAAAAGAATAATGCGATGGATGGGGGAGAAGAAGTGGACGAAGGACGGAGGACTGGATCTGTTGATGCAGAGGGCGCTGCAGATGAACGTCGTGCCAGACCTGTTAGCCGAAATCCCTCCCACAGCACCCCTCACTGTTTCCCTCTCCGCCCCCATCATCCCTGGTACTTTCCAGCTCCCATCATCATTCTCCCAACCCCCACAAATCACCCACCAGCTCTTCCACCACCCCACGCTCCCCACAGCATCGTCTCCCAACCCCACTGCCCTCCACACTCTCCTGGTCATCGACCCAGATGCGCCCAGCCATGAGACCCACTCTTTCAACGAGCGTCTCCTCTACATGAAGACCGACGTTCCTCTGTCAGTAGTCGACGGTCAAGTCAACCTCACAGACAAGGCTGTTGGCAAGGAGATTCTCGCTTGGGAGTCTCCTGCGCCTGAGCAAGGAACTCCCTACCACCGATACGTCGTCCTTATCTTTAGGCAGACATCCCCTTCCTCCGTCTCCACCGTCTCCCGAGAGCCTTTCAGCCTTCGATCATTCCTCTCTGAGCAAGATCTCACGGCTCAAGCTCTCACTGGTATCACCCTTTTCCGAGCAGAGTGGCAGAAGGAGGAGGACGAGTTCATCAACTCGGTGTTTAGGGAACAGAGGGGCGTGGCTGAGGGTGCGCCTGTCTATAGCAAGGTGCCCAAGGAGGTCAGATATGGTTACCCTATGAAGGCGAAGCAGAGGCAGAAGGAAGAGATTAGGGAGCAAATCTTTGAGGAGGTTATGAAGGATTTGGAGAGTGCTGGGGACAAGACTGTCGCGTGAAGAGATTATGGTGAGTTGCTTGTGTATCATTTGAGCGTCCAAAGACTGATCCTTGTGCTCAGATCATTAGTTGAACATCGAATGCACCATTTCGCATAGCAGAGGACCTCGGTATTTACCCTTGCCGAGATTTGGAAGCACCATCGACCTGATACTGGCGCACAAGATACATGCTCAATGGGGAAGCTCATCAAAACAAATTACAGGTACAACTGGCGATAGATGCTGGCATGCTATCGCGACTTGCGCGCGGTGGCCTCCTGTATATGGTTTCCAGGCCTGCCGTGTTACTGTACTTATGAAAGTCGTTCGATCAGCTCGACTCTGGCGGGACCTAAGGATTGCACTAACAGACTGTTCTCTCAGCCTGTGGAACAAGCTCTTGTCACTCTGATCCTTTGGTCATAGCGCGCTTTGCCGACCAATCATCACAAGACTTCCAGCTCCAGCATTTCCATGACCTTCTCCATCTCTAATGCCAACTCCCTATCGCCCTTTTCACCCTCCGAGGCGATTTTCGGTCCCGAGAAATCAATCAAGCACAGGCTCCCGTCAGCCCGCCGGCGGATGTGGCGGAAGTGGACGACCCGAACGGCGTGGAGTGCCTCGTAGAGGGCCACAATCGAGGTTCTGAAAGATGCTACCTGTCAGCGTAAAATATGTTTAGTTGTACGTGAGACTCACTCTGTCGCGAGAGGGAGTGATTCCAAGTCGTCCTCGGAAGCGCAGACGGCGTCGCCCACTCTCTCCAAAAACAGAAAGTAGATATCCATAGGGTTGAACCCATCGTGGATGTACATGAACCCCTAAAGAGCACCAAAGCATAACGGCACAATACTGCCTTGGAGGCTTGCAAGCTTTCCAGCGTAGAGGCCAGTCTCCGTCTTCCAAGCCTCAGTCGCCTGCTCGCCGGTTGCGAAAGCGACGCCGCCGGCGGCATCATCAAAAGTACTCGGGTTCATGACTTTCAGGACGAGCGGTGGAAAATTGTCAAAACGGGGGGCTGTGTTTGGAGGCGAGATTGAGTAGACATCACAGAGACTGCCCGTGTCGAGAAATGGCCCGATTGAAAGGGCGAGGTCGACTGTTGGGCCGTCCGAGTGTAGTGCACTGATGGCGGCGGATTCTTTGACGAGCGAAAGAGAAGCAATATCTCTATTAACCCATCCGAAGATGGCAGATTGAGTCAGACCGACGCGTTGGAACATGTGTTGTGCTGCGTTGGGGTGGCCCCAAGAGTACCAGCGGCCGCTGAAGTGGAAGCGGGCCAACACGGACTGAATTATGAGATTGTCAGCGCCGTAGGCATGTAGAAGAGACGGGGCCGCTCACAGCAGAATGACAGATATCCCTCAGATCGCGCGAGTTTCCCGAGATTACCTTCCAGTGATCTAGCCTCTTCTTCATGACCGTGCCGTTGATATCTTGGTGTTGTTTGGCCTCCTCGTCGTTGTCGGTGTGTTCACTCACTTCGATGCCCGGAGTTCTGCTTGGGTCGACACAGGGGCTGTGAGGAACGGGTTCATCAGGAGTCTGGCCGGTCATCGCCAGGAGAGTGACGTGGGGTATTAAGCGCGTCTGGTGAAAGGTTTCGACGATGCAATGATGGCGGTCGTTGAGCGGCAGGCATTTGCATTTGTTTATTTAATCCTTGTTGCCGTTGCGCACGGCGGCTTACCTTTCACTCTGCTCCTTCTGCCCGATAACTTTCACGAAGAGCGTCATTGCGTTGGCATGAATTCATCAAGATTGGTCGAGACCATCAAAATCGTCAAAAGTCATCAAGAACATCCAGGTCGTCTATCAATCTACACTCTCACACACCTGCCCTTTCCTAATCCTATCCATATCCGCTTTCGCCCCATCCCACAATCCCTCAAACTCCTCCCAAACCCTCTCCATCTCCATATTGAACCCCTTCCCACCTCGCAAACCTTCCTCCACCTTGGACCTCTCCCAATGTTCAACGCCCTTCCAAGCTTCCTCTTCCATACCTTCCCGCTCTCTGAACCCTTGCACTGCCGCGCGTAGCGAGCGTATTTGGCGGGAGAGGAATGTCGATTGAGAGGAGGAGGTATGAAGAGAATCGGAGAGGGATAAGAGGGCGTGGGAGAGGGAGGTGGAGGTGGAGATGACGGAGAGGGTTTGGCTGGGAAGTACAGGAAGGTTCGGGTGATTGGTGCGTGAAGGGTCGAAGGATGGGGCGAGCTGGGGGGTGGAGAATGGATCTTCGAGGAGGGCATCGGTTGAGTTGAAAGGCTCTTCCTCGACGCCGTCGTCCTCCAGGTGGCGATCAATTTCATCCACCAGCCGGGGTGCGTCCTCTGGCATGACCATGCTCTCGCCCACCCATCCCAGATCCGCCGTATCTTCCTTTTCCTCGTCCTCCTCCAAAAGGTCGAGTCTAGGAGATGAAGGCTCGCCTGCGTCACCCCATGCGACTGAGCCCATCTCTCTGCTTATCACCCCCAGCTCACGCAGCTGTTCGTCCCTGGCTCTCTCAGACTCTTGCATCTTGACGAGATGCCGATGTAGTAGAGTATCGACAGTGTCCTTTGGTATAGCTTTGATCTGTGGAGTCGAAGACCGGGAGGAGGTAGAGGCGTTTGCTCTGGGGAGAGGCGAGTGTGGCTCGTCTATCTGACGAAGGCCGGTGATGAACTTTGAATTTGTCGTCATGACCTCCGAGAGCACCAACAACGGCTCATCATCTTCCTTCCCCGCTCTTAAACTCCTCCAAGAATTCTCACTCCTCAGACCCTTGCCCCTCACCCCATTCGGTGGTCGAAGAGGTGAAGAGACGCCTTGTAAATGACTTGCAGCGTCTAAAGGGTAGAGCGTCGATGGATTCGTAGTCGGTTCTTCGAACGTGGGGGACATGGGTGAAGAGGGAGATGGAGGGCTGGATAGGGAAGTGTCAAAGTCGTGCAGTCGACTGGGAGATCCTATCGAGCCGCGGGCGGAGGACGTTGCAGTGTTCATCTGTGCTTCTGCGGTCTCTTCTGTTGGCAGGGGGTTGATGGGCCGTCCGAAGCCTCCGCCAAACTGGAGCTCATCATCTATTCACTAGGTCAACAACCTGATGTTCATTCGTGTGAAACACTCACCAAGAGTCGCCCCGCCATCCATACCGAATTCACCGGATCCAGAGCCCAGCCCAAGCTCGGTTTCGAGGTCGAGTCCAAACTCTGCGGCAAGGCTCTGAGAGGGCCCCGCTTGGGGGTTGTCAAACGCAGCGAGTTCGTCGGCGAGAGAAAGAGCCATGTTGAATGGTGCTTCGGGGGTGGTGGGAGGGAGAGGTACAGTGCAGGCCACGAGGGCAATGCGAAGGTCTTGGGAAGGTGGTCTATCGCTTCTTGGCTACGAACCGTCCGTCGGGGGGTATGGCAGCGTGTGGCGTTGTATCTACACAGACAGGAGATTGTAGGAATGCAGTATCAAGATATAAATGCAAATGCAGGACAGTTACAACAGTTGACGAGGATCCTTCATGTCGCGTGGCTCGTGCGCGTCGACGGGGCCGGAGTCAAATCACCTCCACTTTTCAGCGCCACTTGTGACTCAACCTGTATGACTTGTTCGACTCATGGTCTGCATAGCATAGAGCAAGAGACTGTATATAGGTGTATAGATTTAGGATGGTAGGTTGAATGATTCTATGCTGTGAACCCTCGGCCTACAATACTGCACACATCGACAAACGGGCTGAACATTCCCTTTCGCCTGCGAATCCTCTCCAGCATACCCTTCTTCTTCAAGAACGTCTCCTTGTCTTCAGCTTCCGCTATGATTGAATCCATCCCTTTGATCCTGATCTCCAGTAGGAATCGCTGTAGACACCCGAAAACATAGTTCAAATCGTCCTTTAGGGCCAGTGCCGCCTTCATCTCTAGCAGGTGAAAGACGTCCGGGTGTACGTATGATGGCAGTTCAGACTTCAGCACTTGCTTACGGCATTGAGTGAACAGGCTCTTTGAAGGAGCTTGTAGAGCCTCGAATCCATGGACCATGTCGTAGTCGACCGAGTCGAAAGGAGCCTTCTGGAAACCGATCCAAATCCGCGCGGTGACGATACGCAGCATCCACACCCGTGACTCCCAAACCGATGCACTAATGGGCGTACCAATCTGGTCGTCTCCTTCGGCCAAGCATAAGCCGAGGTACTCGACCATGTTTTGGATGTAGAGGTGGAGGAATACGGCGCGTTCGTTTGTGGTGTGTTCGTGGGCGATGCCGAGGCGTTGGGTGGTGGAGATGGTGGCTGTTAGACGTCGTGAGCGGTCGGAGGGGTGGAGAGAGTACTTGAGGGCGGGGGTGACGTGGATGTGGATGAGCATGTGACCGAGGCGTGCGGGAAGGGCGGGTATGTCGTTGTCGTGAGAGAGCAATACTGGGAGGAGATGTGCTGGGAATAGAGTATTAGTTTGCCACTAGCTACTGGACGAATGGTGTGAGACTTACTTTCACTGTCCTCTTCGGGGACCACCACATTGTACGAGCATACCATTTTGTCTTTGGCGGTTGCGACGATTTTGATCTCTGGTGGCGATAGCTGAGCAAAGATGAATGCAAGTCGAAGTATCATTCTTGCGGATTCTTCAGCCCTCACCACCTGCGGAAACATCAGAGCTGGTGAAGAATAAAGGGCGCCGTCTTCTACAACATCACCACGGTTCCGAAATAGCCTCCCCACCATCCGCCGCGCGCAGCAAGGAGTCACGAAAGAAAGAGGACTAGTAGTAGAGCATTTCCGCCGTGATTCCGCAACGACTCCTTTCTTGCTTGGCTTATATAGATGCCCCCCTGCTCGGAATGTGAATCTCCAACTCCCATCCACATCTCCCATCTGCAACAAGAAAAAAAAATGAAGACTACCCACACCACCATCCATCACCGCACCTCTGTTGCCTCTGTCAACAGCTCGAGCTCTTCCCCTGCGGGAGAGCCGGAGCCTCCTTCGTATGCGGAGTGTGTCTCCGGTACGGAAGGGAGACGTCCTCCAGCTTATGGAGACAGTGAGTCTTTCCAACCCAATCAGGGTCCTTCGCTGACCAATGGCTCTAGCTACATCATCCACCTCACTCCCCACCAACCCATTCGTCGGCCTCGTCAACCAAATCAACCTCGGCCAAATGATCGTCTGGCTCAGCCGCCCCAGTACCCTCAAATCCCGAAAACCAGGCCACTGCCAGATCCAAGCCAAAGTCACCGCCACCATCCGCACCTGTTACGGCGAAGACGATACCCTCTTCGAGCGCGCTGTCTTGATCCAAAACTATCTCGAAGCGCAGATCTCGCGTCTGATTGCCGAGTTTCAAGCAGTCGCAAAGGCTTCTGGGCATACCCTCCGTTCGGGTGATCTTATCTCACTCGTACACGAAGCTCTCGAACCCATCTATGCCAGCATTTCAGAATACAATCTCACTTATGGACTCAAGCTGGTCATTTGCGAGTCGAAGCAAGCCAGTCGACGGGCCGCCAAGACGGGTGGGAGTCTGGCGCGACCGGGTTGCCCGCTTTATGACAATAGGACGCTTGATGAGGTTGTGGAGGGGCTGGTGATCAGTAGGGAGTGGCAGGTAAAGGAGGCTGTTGAGAATGTGCTTTCGAAGCACCCAGAGCATGGACGAAGGAGGGGTCGTTCAGTTTGAAGGGTTTCCCACTTTGAAAAACGATTGATTGGACTTTTCATTGGATTTCTATTGGACTTTTAATCATAATACTGTACATACCTTCTAGATTTATAGACCTTTTTTGTATCATAACATCAATGCATAGTCCGTATTGGCCCTCACGAGACAGGAGCAGTTGTGAACAAGCCGACGATGCTAGGTGACCGAACGAGGAGATAGCTGGGATGTATTCCGCATTGCATGCATGGAAAGATCTCTTTCATGTTCCTAGATCAAGACCAAAGCTCTAGCTCCACATGAGTTTCCTGTGGCTCCTTCGAAGAGTATATCTCTGTCACCTGCCATCTGGGTGTACATATAGGGTCATCTCGTTACGGCGGACCCTTTTGCTTTGGTCGCCTTGACGCGTTCGCGCCAAAACGCTGCCTGCGACTTCTTTCTTTCCTGCATTCCACCTGTCCGAGCGTATAAACAGAATACCTGGTATCCGCCAGTGGCCCCGCCCCCACGCAACATTGAATCTCGACTGCTATCAGCCTCCCCTCGATCCCGCTCGTGGTTTCCTCGCCACACGCCATCAAGGGAAACAGGACGACCGCAAAGGGCGGTGACGGCGGCTACAAGCAGCACATTTTGGTCCTCTACAAAATAGCAGATTGAAATACGAACGAGGCTTTCACTTCAGGCAGTCTCTGACAGATCTCCCAAATGACCACCACAACTCCCCAAACGCCCCAAACGCCAACCCTTTCATCGCCCTTCACGCCGACCCGCCGCCGGACCTCTCAGCAATTCAGCCCCATCTCCACTCCTCGAATGGGGAGTGTGGGCGATATGGATACGCCGCATGTGCTGCAAAGAGCGGTCATGGAGGGGCAGGACGTGCCCGAGTCGCCGATAATCGATAGAGGCTTTGCGATGATGCTGTCGCCAGGGTATAGGGTCGGGGAGAGCTCTACGTGCGTAATTTTCACTCCTTTATATGTCAAGACTGATTCATTCATAGAGGAGGAATTGGCGGTGCGGTTCCCGAACCCAGATTCCTGTCAGACCCCTCCCCACAGTCCATCTTTCCCCTCCTAGATGAAGACGAGCACAACGCAACACAAGAGACCGATTTGCGGAAAGCTTTGATTCTGCGGCATGCTATCCACTGGGGCGTAGAGCGAGGAGATGTCGATCTGGTGAACTGGATATGCAGCCTTGATGGGCGGTGGAGGGGTGTGTTGGATAAGGAGGTCGAAACGCTGGAAGATAGTGAGAACTGGGGAATTGTAGGAATGGCGGTCATGTGTACTTGTGGAAGACAGGAGAAGGAAGAGATCGTCAGGGCTGTAGTCCAGAGATGGGGTGTGAGCGTGGGACCAAGAGGAGGGCGAGATCGAAGTGAGTCATCCCGGTACTGTCGTCGTGTCACCAGGCTAATCGACCGTAAGATGGCTGGACTCCATTGCATCTCGCCGTCCTCGTATCAACACCTCCCCTCGTATCCTTCTTGCTCAGCCACGGCGCTTCCCCCCACGACACCAACTCCCGCGGCCTCACGCCTCTGGATCTCGTAGTGGGCATCCCAGACCGAGAAGCTATAACACTCTTCCTCGAACACGCCATCTCCGTACCCCATCCATCCACCCCTCTTCCCAGCTCATCATTCGTCCCACCATCATCCACCGCTCTGACAAGTCTCCCACCAACTAGACAAAAGATGCTGGGACGAAGACGCCGGAAAGCCAGTCGGTATCTCGAAAAGATGGAGGCGCAAGGCAGGAGGGAGAGAGTTGAGGCGGAGCGGGAGAGGTGGGTGAGAGATAGGGTGCGGGTTGTGGATGTCCGACCGGAGCTTGTCTTGCCGCGGAAGGAGGTGAAGAGGATCAATGGATTGGAGGTCGACCTCGATCTGGAGCTTGACGCGCAAGACCAGGCAGATGACGAGGAACAGGAAGAAGTGAGTCTGCCTGGTATGAGATCTCTACTGACATTGCGTAGATAAACCATCTCGAATTCAACTCCAACATGCTAGTCTTCTCCTTGGTGAATCTTCCAGAGATCTTTGACATTCTCATATCGGACTATACCCCAGTCTCGCAGCCACTCGCAAAGCGAACATTACCGGCTAATGTGCTGTTCTACTATGCGAGGTTTGCCTGGTATATGTGTGATGAAGGGTGGCTGGAGGAGCTGATCGAGGGGGCTGTAGAGCGAGTTGAAGAGGGTGTCTATGTGAGCCGCTCTATCTTACAGATGGATGACCAACTGACAACAGATAGGACAATATCGAAGATCTTGCATTCTTGGCCTTTTGGGCGTACAATTCTTGTGTTTTGTTGCATCATCTTCAATCAGATGAGAAGCTACGTGTCGCATGTGAAGACCTGGGGCTCTTGACGATGGTCGAAGAACTCGTCAACGCCATTCACGGTTCGTTCATTTCAACTGTACTCTCAACCCGTCTGACCTGGGAGAGTAGTCTTTGTTATCCGCATAGCAGAGCGCCGCATCGACTCTGTGCTGGACAGTACCATTCTCGACTACGAAACTCTTGACGACTTTGCCGATGTCCGCTTCGAAGGAGAATGGTCACTATTCAGATCGTTCGTCCCGAAGAAGAAGAGGGAGATGCCAAAGGCGAGCTCGATCTTCTCTGCTGCTGGGACGAGTCCCGGTGGTCTATCGACAAGCTCTGGCTCGAGACAGTCCATAGATCTGTCTGTGAGCCCGGGCGTGGCGAGCGCATTGAGAACCCCCACCAGGCCACAATCTATGGGTGATCTGAGGCTGTCGTCTTCTGGACGGTCGTCGAGCCACGAGTCTGGCACAAGCTCGACCTTTTCCACGCCGGGCGGCAACACTCCCGCCCCTGAAGTAGACAGCGGGCCCGGCAAGATCACAGAGATCCTCACCGGCGTGCTCCTGGTCTTGCAGCTGTACGAGGTCAATCCAGCTCTGATCGTGCAGGCTTTCTCTCAGATATACTTTTGGATCGCTTGCGAGCTGTTCAATAGGATCTTGACGCGGAAAAAGTATCTGTGTCGATCAAAGGCGTTGCAGATCCGGATGAACCTCACGGCGCTGGACGATTGGATCCGGTCCAATGGTCTTCCCGCCAAAATTGCGACTCAGCATCTCGCGCCTGTCTCTCAGCTTCTTCAGTGGCTTCAATGTCTTTCCCAGATCAAAGAATTCGATACTCTGATCGGGACGATGCAGGGCATGAAAGCCATCAACCCTCTCCACATGCGCCGTGCCGTCCGCGACTACCGCTACGAAGTCAACGAAGGCCGAATGGCAGATGACTGCTCCCAGTATCTTGTCCAACTGCAAAGGGACTGGGAGAGGAGACGTCTGCAGCAAGCTGGCGCAGACGCAGAGAGGCGCAAGTCGCACAGCAGCGAGTGGTCGGAAGAAAGTTGGGGTTCGGAGCAGATTGGGGCGAGTGGATGGAGTGGAGGGATGGAGGAGCCGACGAGTGTGGATGCTCTCTTTGATGGGTCCATTGTGTTGGCAGAGTTCACTCCTCATACCGCGCCAGAGAGCATCGGCGAGCTGCTTGATAGCAGGTATATGTTGCCTTTCCTCTTGCCGGAGGAGGAGATATACTTGATCGCTGCCCCGCCCGAAGACGCTGCCTACCAGTCTCTGCACCTCCCCTCTAGTCCGTTTGTGACCGACACTCCCACAGGTCGACCTTTTTCTCGCTCGTCGTTCTCCTCGTCGAGACCCCTGGGCTACAGAATACCATCTGTCGGCAAGATACGCGAGTTGACGCCCGACTTTTTCAAGTGGATGAAGGAGCGCGAGGTCGAAATGAAGCTTAGCAGAGAAGCTTTGAAAATCGAAAAGAGGGCTGTACCTGCTCTGGTGCATCCTCTTGGTCCCAGTCACCGAGGCGCGATGACTATCAACACCACCATGCGCCCACCCGATGACAAGACCAACCTGTCGCCTACACCCACTAGGACGATCAACAAGAAGCGCAGTGGCAACTTTTCCGCCGTATCCCCTTCTCCTGCAACGGCGACTCCCCCCGCGGTGAAAGAAGCTGATATCTCCACGACTCTCAGTATGCTCTACCCAACACCTACCAAGCCGGGTGCGAATCTGCCTTCTCCCGGCCTCCGTTCGACAGCTTCCTTGAACGAGCTGCGAGAGAAGAAGATTGTAGGGAACGCTTTCAATGATATAGTAGAGGAGGAAGGAGACGAGGTTCATGGGCATGTGAGGTCAGAGAGCTTCAAGATGAGAGCGATGGCGAGGGAAGGGAGTGGGGACTCGCTCTCGTCCAATGATTCGCAGCCTACTGGTCCTGCTTTCCTTACGAGCCCCTCATCTATAGAATCCGGAGGTGGAAGTAGGTGGTGGAGACTGGGTAAAGGAGAGCAAGATAGTGAGACCGAGAGGAGACGGAGAGATGCGAGCGAGGATACGATTGCACCTGGGGACGGATGGGTACCTGGGGATGTCAAGACGCCAGATGCGAAAACGCCTCTTTCGGCCAAGCGTTTCTGGGGCTGAAGGGGATTGTAAGGTAGGGGGGGAGCATCTTTGTTACGATCTACATGCATACTCATGACTGAATGCGGGACGTTGAAGAAGATGGACGGGGATTAGTAACACCGTCTAATGATCGCTGGTAACTTCGTGCCGCGGGTCCTGTGTTCTTGTTTTTACCTTTCACCTACATCCGACCTTTTTGGCTCGTCTCTGGGCAAAGCTCTGTGTCTCAAAATTCAGGTCAGTATCGCAGACTCTCCCCATGGTACGATGCTGATGATGCATGCATAGCTAGCTAATGTCGTACCAGCAGCTCTGACATTGGAAAAGGTCGCTCTGAATCGTCACGAAAAAACCACCACTATGGGTGACAGTCCCGACATCAAGCCCGAGCTGCAAGACAGCTGGGAAGGGGGCAAGGATCAAAAGCCAAATACCCCTTCTTCCCCCGTGGCCATAGCCTCTCCCTCCTCCAAACGCGACGCGCCTCCGTCTCCTCTGTTCCCTCCAGCATCCCCCATCATCGACGACGAAGATCTCAAACCCCGCACCCACACTGCCCCGTCCACAGCACCTTCATCGTCTAGAGGAGGAACCAGAGGAGGGAAAAAGAGCGCGACGCCAGAGGTCAAACCTGTTTTGATCGACGACTTGCCCAGCGCGTGGGATGAGGCGCATGAGACATTCTCGACGCTGGAGAAATGCGTATATGAGAGGAAGGATATAGGGGTGACGAAGGAGAATAATGAAATGATGGTGTGCGATTGTGCATGGAGCAAGTGTGAGTTGGACGTCTTTTCGGCAGGGCGGCGGGGGCGGAAAAGTAGACAGCGGCGGCGCTGTTGGGGACGCCGGTCACGGAGACGCGCCAAATGCTGACCTCCATCCAGACGACCCAGATGCTGAACTCTGTGGAGCCGACTCGAATTGTATCAACCGTGCATTGTTTATAGAGTGTCTAGCAGGGGAGTGTAAGGCTGGGCGGCATTGTCAGAACCAACAGTATGTATCTAGCAAACCTTGTGACCTTATGGGGCACTGCTGATTGGTCGGGCGTGTAGATTCTCAAAGAAGGAGTATGGCGATGTGGAAGTCGTGCAGACTGAGAAAAAGGGCTTTGGTCTGAGAGCGGGAAAGGATATACCCAGGTGAGTGCGATGGTCGGGGCTTTGGGGCTTGTGGCTGGTGTATGCTGACTGAGAGGGCAGCAACACTCTCATCTACGAGTACATTGGCGAAGTCGTCAAGGAAAACACTTTCAGAAGGAGGATGCAGCAATACGTAAAGGAGGGTATACGGCACTTCTACTTTATGATGTTGCAAAAAGAAGAGGTGAGTCTTGCTTGGTATGCTAGCGGGCGTCGCTGATTCGAGTTCTTCTCTAGTACATTGACGCGACGAAGAAGGGCGGGATTGGACGGTTCGCCAACCACTCTTGTAATCCTAATTGCGAAGTACAAAAATGGGTGGTGGGGCGCCGGCTGCGGATGGGTATCTTTTCCAAGAGGGACGTCCTCAAGGGTGAAGAAATCACTTTCAACTACAACGTTGATCGCTATGGGTGAGTTTTTTTTTTTTTTGATACATGGGAAGGGGAGGGCTGATATCGGGATAGACATGACGCTCAGACATGTTATTGTGGTGAACCGAATTGCGTGGGAACTATTGGTGGAAAGACGCAGACTGATATCGGGACCATGAACGACCTCTTCCTGGACGGTGAGTCTGTATTACACGTCTTGTGACTTGTTGCTGACAATGATGCAGCACTTGGTATCACCGACGAGGTCGAAGCCGACGGCATGAAAGGCAGCAAGAAGAAGAAGGCTCGTCAACTGGACGACGTCGACTTTAACCCCGTTTTGAGACCTATTGTGGAAGATCAGGTGCAGAAGGTGGCAGCGGCGATGCGTCAGAGTATGGAGAACCCAAAGATGATGAAAAAGCTTCTACATCGTATCAAGGTGAGTAACGTCCTGTTACTTGAGGAAAAGTTGCTGACAAGTGTTAGATTACTGAAGATCCCGCCATCCATCGACAACTCATGAGGATGCACGGGTTCAGTATGATGTTTATGGTTCTGACAGAGATGGCAGATGATAAAGAAGCTGTCCTTCTGGTAAGCCTTCTTCGCGCCTTTCAAAAAAACACGTGGCTGATCTTTTGCCAGACACTCGAAAGCATGGATCAGTGGAAACTTCAAATCCGCAACAAGATTGAAGATTCCCAGATCGAAGAACCCGTCAAAGAACTCTCCGAGCGGCCCAACGAGAAGATCAGTAGCCTTGCCCAAAAGCTTCTTGACTATTGGTCTACTCTTGAATTGTCATACAAAATCCCTAGAGTACCCAAGCTCGCCACTGTAAGTTTCCTTCTCTCTTCTATACCACCAGCTAATGAAGAAACAGCTCGACGCAGACGACGAAGCCGGTACCCAGACCATCGCCGAAGCCAACATTCTCTCCGCCCTCGCTCCCCGCCGTCCAGACGCTTGGGAAAACACTGTCGAAATCCAACTCGACATTGCCCCCGTCCGTCCTCGCGCTCCCGTCCCCCGATCAAATCCTCCCCCACCACCTTCTGTACAGAAAAATCCGGTGCTCCAAGGGGGCTTGAGCCAGGATAGGTTGAAGTTGGATGCGATCATCGCTATGGCGGGACAGAGTGTCAGCCCGGTGCCGGTGGAGCAGGTGAGAGAGTCGGCGGGGGCTTCGCCGGCTGCTGGACCGAGCCGGAGTGCGAATGGGGATGATGAAAGGCGAAAGAGGCAGAAACGGTCTCATGAGACGGAAGAGGAGAAGCTGGAGAAGAGGGAGAGGCGGTATAGGAAGATGGTGGGGCATGTGGTGGTTGATTCGATGACGAAATATCGGAGTCAAATTGACCATGATACGTTCAAGAAGTATGCTCAGGAGGTAAGTCTTCGTGTGTTTTGGTGGGGCGAAGCTGATTCTGCTTAGTGTACCGATATTTTGGTGAAGAAGGAGAAGAAGCGGGGCAATCTCACGGATCGCCATCTTCGACCTTTTGCCGATGACAAGAAACAGAAACTCAAAGCCTTCACCAAAGACTTTACGCACAAAGTCATCCAACACTACAAAGCCAAAAACAAACGCCGTCCATCATCTTCCAGCCTCAAGTCCAACGGCCCCTCCAGTTCAGCCGCCGGCACCCCTTCGAAAGACTCCACCCCAGGCGGAAGCAGTCTTGGAGAAACGCCGTCAAAGGGCGGCGCGGATAATGGATTGATGGATGATATCTTTGGGGCGGACGAAGAAGATGTGGCGATGGACTTGGATGATGATGACGATGGGACAGGGGCGGCGGCGGGGGCACCGTCTACTGTGGGGGCGTCGGCTACGCCTGCTTCGCCCATGCGCCCGCCTACGCCGCCTTTACCGCTTCCTCCCATCGTGCAGGTTGTTGAAGATGCGCCGGACGGGGAGCCGTTCGAGGTGGGGCTGGATCTGGGGGCTGCGAGCAAAACCAATGGGAAGCATGCGAGAGAGGAATAATGGGGAGTGGATCTTGGATGATGGAAGAGGTGGTGGAGGGATGTATGAGATGTTGTCTGGTCTTTCATCGGGTCTTCAAACTACTATAAGCTAGACAATGCATTTTTGGTTATAGACAAGTTCGCTTGATGCAGGGCAATCAAGTGTTCCAGCGTTCAGGTTGGTTGTTCAGTCACTCTAGAGAGACAGAGAGGGGCCCATGAGCATTACTCGAATCAGATAGCCAGCGGCCCCTGCTCATCGGCACGCCGAACCACTGCAGCGCTACGGACAGAAGGGCTCCCTCTTCATGATTCTCTGATTGATAATTCATGAAGCCTTGTAGAACCACCAGGGGATGATATCGGGTAGTCGTGTCTAGCTTTCACATACTTGTCTTCTGTACGATGTGTAAACCTCGCTGGGGGCAATCCAGAAGATGTATCAACATCATCATCAACAATGGCACCGTGAGCGAAGCTAGGATCGACGATATGTCTCAGAGGATTATGGCGGCGTACTTTTTGCTGGGTCAGGATGAGGACTATCCCGAGATCAGCTTTGATTCGTTCAGGCTGTCTGGGTCGAACATGTCCCATGTTGATGTCCGAGGTGATCATCACAAGTGAGTGTCTTTCTTATCAAACTCTGCATTCGCTGACAAGTTTCGAAGGTTGATCCACCACATCGGTGCCTCTTCCACCATCCTGCTCAAGAACGAGAACAACACCCTCCCCTTGTCTACTCCTCGCTCTGTCGCCCTCATCGGCTCCGACCTCGCCCCTCCCACTGATGGCGCGAACGGCTTCACCGACCGAGGCGGTATCGGCGGGCACACCGCCATGGGCTGGGGTTCGAATTCCGGTTCCGCCGAGTTCCCATATCTCGTCGACCCTCTCCTCTATGCCATCTCGCGGTGCCATTATCAACTCATACCTCGACGATTGGAACACCCAGAACGCGTCTTACTGGGCTAGCGGCGCGGAAGTCGCCATTGTGGGCGTGCATGCGCACTCGGGAGAAGAGTACATCACAGTAGACGGTAACGTCGGAGACCGAAACAGCTTGACGCTCTGGGCCAACGGGGACAACCTCGTCCAGGCTGTAGCTTCTACCAACAACAACACTATCGTCGTCGTCCACTCCCCTGGGCCTATCATCATCGAGTCGTGGATCGACCACCCCAACGTCACTGCTGTCCTCTGGGCCGGTCTTCCTGGTCAAGAGTCTGGTAATGGCCTCGTCGACGTGCTTTGGGGCGACTACAACCCCTCGGCTCGACTTCCCTACACCATCGCCAAAGACAGGGCAGACTACTCTGCTGACATTGTCTATACCAACTCTGAATACCCCGTCCAGCCCCAGATCGACTACACCGAGGGTCTTAACATCGACTACCGACATTTCTTGTCCGAGGGTATTGAGCCGAGGTTCGCTTTCGGCTATGGGCTGTCTTACACCAGCTTTGAGCTTTCGAACTTGAGTGTGGGCGCTATCGAGGGAGCCGGAGATTTGGAGAAGAGGGATGTTTTGTTGAACCCTCCTCAGGTGGATGAGACCCCTGCGGAGGAGACTGTGGAGATTGGCAAATTTGTCTTCAAATCGTACGTCATCTTCTCGCTTTCTCATATTATTATATGAGGTATGAAGCTGATCTGTATAAAGTCTCCACAAGCCTCGATGGTCTGTATCTATCGACTTTACAAACACTGGTAGCCTGAACGGCTGCGAGGTCCCTCAACTCTGTCTACCCCGAAAGCGCTGGTGAGCCTCCCAAGGTTCTGCGTGATTTTGCCAGGTTCGTCTTCTCCCTCCTCCTCCTTCTGTATCTGATAGTAACTATGTCTATAGAATCAACCTCGACCCGGAGCCACCCAAATTGTCTCTTGGAACCTCTCCCAATACGACTTCTCCATCTGGGATGTTGAGAGCCGGGCAAGTGTGTGGCGGATGAGGATGCGCAGACTGGGTCTTTCACTCCCAAGCAGTAGAGAAAAGATGCGGAGACGATGAGAAGAAGAAGAAAAGGACAGAAGGACAATTTATCATTCAAGAAACATATCACCACGTTATAATAGAATAACCTACATCGATAGAGTCTATACCAGTCGTTTCACGAAATAGAATCTTAGCATGTCATCTAATACGAGTAATACACACTACCTGGTCAGCATGCACAATCCAGACGAGTCGAAAAGAGATGTCAACTCGCATCCATCAATCGACCCAGCTCATCATCATCGCCTCCGGATCTGTCGCTCGAAAGTAGCCGGCGCAGTAATTCATGGATACCGTCTATACCCTTTCGCTCCCCCCACCCGGAACATGCTGCATCTATCGAAGCAGTATGTGATGCCCCTGGCTCTTGCCGAACAGACATCCATATGCTCCCAAAGGGAAAACCCAGGACGGATCCCGGCTGCCGACCGGCGGACCGATGTTTATCCGGCATTTGTGGAATTGTGCGCGTGACTTTTCCATTTCCTGCGATGTTGATCTGTGAACGTTCTGCTGGAACAAGTTAGATTGCAAGGATAAACGGTACCCGTGGCTTCAGTCTTCCCTGGCCCGGGTATGAGATCACGCTAAAAGTAAAAGTATTGCTCAACCCACAGAAAACGGGGCAGCTGAGCCCCGGTTCTTGGCCCGGCGGGGCATGGACTGAGGGGTATATAGCACCCATGGGGCACCTCTTTCCTCCTCTCCATCCCTCAAGTCATCTGGGCTTCTTCTCTATCTCTTGCCCTATAATAAATTTCCCTCCACCAAGAGGTACTTATAGGTGAGTCACACAAACATCATCCTCTTCTTTGCTGACGTTGTCTGTCTTCTTCTCTTCTCATCACCTTTGGATCGACATCGACTGACTACGACAAACATGGGTTTGGCCTCGATCAGACATGCTCAAGTCGCCCCTCCTCTTGCTGCTACTCGGCACTGGCGTCCCCGCTGCCATTGCTAGCCCTTTCATCTTGGGCGCTCGAGACAACACCACCACCACCGAGTCCTCCACCGCCTCCTCTACTGCTGCTGAGTCTACCGCCACTATCCCCTCCCCGGACTCCTCCCAGAACATCTCCTCATACCACACCTCCAACATCACCTACATCTCTCCCCAGATTCCCGCACCTATCAACGCTACCCACGCCAACCCTTCTTCCAACTGGACCGCTGCTCACGAAAAGGCTCGCTCATACCTCTCGAGCTGGACCCTTGAGGAGAAAGTCTCTCTCTCCACCGGTGTGGGATGGGAGCAAGGCAGATGCGTTGGTAACATTGGCGCTGTGGAGAGTCAAGGCTTTGGGGGTCTTTGTCTTCAGGACTCGCCTTTGGGTGTAGCCAGGACCGACTATATCTCGGCTTTCCCCGCCGGTATCAATGTTGCTGCTACGTAAGCCTATCCTGCTTTCACCCTTACTCTTACTGACGCGATCGTAGTTTTGACAAGGATCTCATCTATGCCCGAGGATACGCCATGGGCCAAGAGTTCAAGGGTAAAGGTGTCAACGTCGCCCTCGGCCCCATGACCAACTTGGGCCGAGTCGCTGCAGCTGGCCGTGGCTGGGAAGGCTTTGGCGGCGACCCTTACCTCTCTGGCTGGGCTACCGATGCTACTATCCGAGGTCTTCAGGATGCCGGTGTCCAAGCTTGGTACGTCACGTCGTTGTCTTTCTGTCGGCTACTATTGGCATAGCTAATCCACTCTCAGTGTCAAACACTATATCGGTAACGAACAAGACCGCAACCGAACCACCTCTTCATCCAACATCGACGACCGTACCCTGCGAGAGATCTACACCCACCCCTTCCTTCGAGCTGTCCAGGCCGACGTCGCTTCCGTCATGTGCTCTTACAACCTCGTTAACGGCTCTTGGGCATGCGAGAACCCCAAGACCCTCAACGGCGTTCTGAAGACCGACTTTGGCTTCCAAGGCTATGTCATGTCGGACTGGCAAGCTCAACACACCGGTGTCCTCTCTGCCGAGACCGGTCTGGACATGAGCATGCCAGGCGACATTGGATTTGGGAGCTTGTCATCTTTCTGGGGTAGGAACCTTACCGAGGCTGTCAACAACGGTACCGTTAGCGAAGCTAGGATCGACGACATGGCTCAGAGAATCATGGCGGCCTACTTTTTGCTCGGTCAAGATGAGGACTATCCTGAGGTCAGCTTTGATTCTTTCAGATTGACTGAGTCGAACAACTCACACGTCGATGTCCGCGGTGATCACCACAAGTACGTTCCTCTTGGTCTAACCACTGTCAATGCTAACCTGCCCATAGGTTGATCCGCCACATCGGTGCCTCTTCCGCCATCTTGCTCAAAAACGAGAACAACGCCCTCCCCTTGACTAATCCCCGCTCCATCGCCCTCATTGGCTCCGACCTTGCCCCTCCTACCAATGGCCCCAACGGTTTCACCTTCCGGGCCGGTATCGACGGCCACACCGCCATGGGCTGGGGTTCCGGCTCTGTCAACTTCCCATACCTCGTCGACCCCCTCTCTGCCATCTCCCAGCGTGCTCGTGAGGGCGGCGCCATCATCAACTCCTACCTGGACGACTGGAACACCCAGAATGCTTCCTACTGGGCGAGCGGCGCAGAAGTCGCTATTGTCGGCGTCCACTCTGATTCTGGAGAAGCTTTCGTCGTTGATGGGAACGAGGGTGACCGAAACAACCTCACTCTCTGGACCAACGGCGATGAGCTGGTGAAGGCTGTCGCTTCTGCAAACAACAACACTATCGTCATCGTCAACACCCCTGGCGCTCTCATTATTGAAGAATGGATCGACCACCCCAACGTCACTGCTGTCCTCTGGGCCGGTCTTCCTGGTCAAGAGTCTGGTAATGCCCTCGTCGACGTGCTTTGGGGCGACTACAACCCCTCGGCTCGACTTCCCTACACCATCGCCAAAGACAGGGCAGACTACTCTGCTGACATTGTCTATACCAACTCTGAATACCCCGTCCAGCCCCAGATCGACTACACCGAGGGTCTTAACATCGACTACCGACATTTCTTGTCCGAGGGTATTGAGCCGAGGTTCGCGTTTGGCTATGGGCTGTCTTACACCAGCTTTGTGCTTTCGAACCTGATTGTCGACGAGGTTGAGGGAGCTGGGGATTTGGCGAAGAGGTATGTGTCAGACAACCCTCAGGTTGACGAGAGTACCGAGGGAGAGGTCGTAGTTGGTAAATTTGTCGTCGAGTCGTGAGTATCGCTTGCTCTCTTGGAGACTTCTGCTAATCTCATTTAGTCTCCACAAGCCCCGATGGACCGTATCTATCGACGTCGCCAACACCGGCGATGTAAACGGCTGCGAGATCCCTCAACTCTACCTCGTCTACCCCGAAAGTGCTGGTGAACCTCCCAAGGTTTTGCGCGACTTTGCCAGGTTCGTCTTCTCCCTTTCTCTCTCCTCTTTTCCACTCGAGCTAATCTTTGTAATAGGATCAACCTCGACCCCGGAGCTACCTCCACCGTTAGCTGGAATCTCTCCCAGTATGACGTCTCCATCTGGGATGTCGAGAGCCAGGAATGGGTTGTTCCCGAGGGCGAGTTTGGCGTGGAGGTAGGCAAGTATGTCGCAGACGCAGACGCGCAGACAGGATCTTTCACTCCTCAGCAGTAGATCAGAATCAAAGGAAAGAGTCGATCAGGATACGAACTTCGCAGTAACTATTAGTGGGCTTTTATAATTATAGAAATCAACTTTGATAGAATCTATAAGAAGAAGAAGACAAGTCTCTCAGATTATTGGATTAAAAAATGCAGGATGATTCGAGTGCTACTGCACAGTAAGAAGACCACTGGTTCACCCACACAAGGATTCTGCATCACTTCTATCTTGTAGATATCGGCAGCCAGTTGGAGTACGTACATGGTACGAGTACATAGTCGGCCGGCCTTCCGACGTCTTGAGTACGTCATGCGCGTGGCTTGGAAGCTGCCCATGCTGCAACTGGTTAGACTGCCAGGGATGCTGAGATTACGCGAATGGCTCGAAGACGGAAAGAGAGAGCTCACCTGACCTCCAGGCGGGCCGCTGCATGCGGTATATAATACTGGCTGGGCCACCTCCCATCATCCCACCCTTCAATTCCACTCTCCTGCTTAGTCATGCTCGCATCGCCATTCGTGCTGCTGCTGCTCGGCACCAGTGTTCCCCTCGTCGTGTCCAACCCCTTGAACGTCTTGGTCGCCAATGGCACTCTCAACAACACTCAAACCAGCTCCTCGGAGGCCGAGACTGCTGTGACCTTCTCCGACAGGCCTGCACTGAATATTTCATCTCACCATACTTCCAACATCACCTACATCTCTCCCCAGGTTCCTGCTCCTCTCAAAGCTACCCACGCCAACCCCTCTTCTAAATGGGATGAAGCCCACGATAGGGCTCGCTCTTACCTATCCAAGTGGACGGTAGCTGAAAAAGTATCCCTCACTACTGGCCTTGGATGGCAGCAGGGAAGGTGTGTTGGGAACATTGGACCTGTGGAGAGTCAGGGATTTGGAGGGCTCTGTCTCCAAGACTCGCCTCTGGGGTTAGGTCGACCGACTATGTGTCTGCTTTCCCTGCCGGTATCAATGCCGCTGCTACGTGTGTCTCCCCATTCATCGTCTTTGACCACCTCTGACATTTTAGCAGCTTTGACAAAGATCTCATCTACTCTCGAGGTTACGCTATGGGCCAAGAGTTTAAGGGTAAAGGGGCTCATGTTGCTTTGGGACCTATGACCAATATGGGTCGAGTGGCTGCAGCAGGTCGCAACTGGGAGGGCTTTGGCGGTGATCCTTACCTCTCTGGCTGGGCTACCGACGCCACCGTACGGGGACTTCAAGATGCCGGTGTTCAGGCTTGGTAGGTCGCCTCCTATTTCGTCCATTATTACGAAAGATTCTAACCCCCTCCTAGTGTGAAGCACTTTGTCAGCAATGAGCAAGAGCGAAATCGAACCACTTCATCCTCCAATATCGACGACCGCACCCTTCGCGAAATTTACACCCACCCTTTCCTCCGAGCCGTTCAAGCAGAAGTCGCTTCCGTCATGTGCTCTTACAACCTCGTTAACGGCTCTTGGGCATGCGAGAACCCCAAGAC